ATGTCCTGCACCAGTGAATCAAGTCAAATCATTCTCCCCAACCCAACTAATGACTGCTTAAGGCTATATTGTAAATTGATTTAGGAGCAGTGGAGCGGTTTGAAAAGCTGAAAACAAGATTATTTACACAATGTGCACTTCTCTGCTTTCTGTGTTGATGCAAAATGAGGAATCAGTCCTTTTAAGTATTAACACTGTTCTTCATTTTTTCATAGCACAAACTAAATCACTTAAAAAACTTGAATTAAATACAGAACGAACACGAATAAACAGTTATACACCATCATTTGATGTCAATTTTCGGCATCACTGTACAGTGTTCATTCTAGCAGCAGCGCTTTGTTTTCCTAATTTACACCACTTGCCAGCGACTCACGTCTTAGTGGTGTTTTTAATTTACTGAAATCTGAAATTGCAGATGTGAAACCAAGCATGCATGCATTTTGTCTGCTCAGGGCTGCCACAGCATCCAGACTCATGATCTGAGGATTTTGAAAATTAGAACAATCTGTGAGGGCACCGAGCACATGGCAGAACTCCCCTAAAATGACTCCAATTAAAGGCAAATGCAGCACTGATGCTTTGATTTAAAAAAAAGCCTTCTTTACTCAGTATGTTTCATCATCTGTGTGAGGAACTTTTTACACATACCATGGCTTTGCCAATAGTTGGACTCTTATTGCTTTTTTGAAAAGCAGGTGCTTGACTCCAACAGCCTGTTAAGAGTCAACCTAATGAAAAGACAGGAGCAAATATTGAAAACATATGTTTTGTGAATATGTTGTAGTAGAAAACAGTCCTTGAATGAAAAGAGGTGACCATAAAAACATTGTTGTATGAATGTGGCTTGTTGTGCTGGCCTGTGTGTGTTTGATGGAGATGGTTGTGTTCACATTGAAGGTGGGTATGACTCACTTCATCCATTAGATCAGTGGCTGGGGCTTGGACAGCAGCCCTCCCCTGATACTGAGACCACCACGTACAAACCTTCCCAAACAGCCATCTGTTCAGCATTTCTACGCTGCCTTTGAATCTTTAGAGAATTAGAATACTGCAAATATAACACCCTGCTATCCAAGGACCAGTCAATGTGTTGCATGGCAGCAGTCACACTGCTGTGGGCCAAGTTTCCTTGATCAAATGAGGCATGTCTGCCCTCTTTCTCTAGAAATAACTTTATTCGCTATAGGGGCCCTCGTGAGTTTGCTGCATCACAGATGCTTGATTCCCAGAAGGGGGGACAGTATGCACTATGGTTCATTTTAGAGCAAAGCATTCCTGTTTGCATCCAATTAAATGTCAGTTGATGCTTTTTTTTTAACAGTGTGTTGTACTGTATGTCCATCTGGTTTTGTTGGTGTAAATCACAACTCTAGGCCAATCATTTTCACACATCACAATAACTAACCACACCAAAATCTCAAGAGCTTGCTGGGGTGTGTGCTTTTGTCTCTTCTGATGTAAAAAAGCGAAGAGTCCAGACTGAAATTATGCTGAAGTTGAAATGATGTCTTTGATACGTTTGCAAATGAGTAGCCAAACCAATAATATAGGTTCTTTCTCAGCTGGTCCCCAGTGTCAAGAGGCATCTTTTCCTCTGTTACACTGTCACAGGCATCAGACTGACATATCTGTGTTAACAGGGTCGGGGTCAAGGCTGAGGGTGATGCCGTGTCGTAGTTTAGACTTTGGCTGAGCATGAAGAATACAACTGCCACACTCTCTAAACTATTTTGTTTTGTTTAACATTCCATGGTCCATACACTATATGAATCTACTGCGTGAGAGCTCGCTGCATGTCAGAGTGTTTATACGTTGTACCAGAGATGCCCGCTCTTCATACTGTAGTTCATCTTTCAGTACTGCGGCCTGTTTTTTAGACTGGACCACTGTTAAGTTATTATCTAGTTGCCAAAGTACACTTTAGCTCAGAATCCTCTTATAAAGTTAGAATTGACAGGATTAATACCAATATCACATGTACAGAGTAAACATTTGAAGCTGTGGCCAACAAGTACTTAGCTTAGCTTAAAGACTAGAAGCAGGGTGAAGTGGCTATCTTCAGTGTTTCTTTAATCAGTACAAAAACAAAGTATAAATTACACATCATGTTTTTGTTGAGGTTATGTGCTCAACGGTTTCTTGGCCTGGGGGCTCTTACTTTATGGAGTCTTGTCATATCCCAGTGTAACACCACACATTGTTTTCACTATTCATTTTCTGTACAAACAAAACAAACACACTATAACAATTTAATTAGTGAGCAGTAGAAGCACTGGTAGGCAGATTTTGTTACCTTTGGATACAGTCAAGTTAGCTGTTTCACTCTTGTTACAGTCTTTATGTTAAGCTAAGCATCTGCTGCCTCCAGCTTCATGTTTAAGGAGCAGATATGAAAGTGGTATTGAGTTTCTCAACAAAGAGAACATATAAGCAAATTTTCAAAACTCTTTCTTTGTAGGATGCTGCCAAATATTTCTGCAGACACCCAACAACGAATGATTGTGTTAAAAGTACAGTTCCCTGCTTTTAAAATAAAATCAGCTCAGCTATCATTGTACCTTTATTAACACTGCATAGTCTGCTCTCAGGCAGTAAAGCAAGCATCAAGCGAAGCAGCACTTGGTACTGCTGCTCTGCTCTGTTTATACAGAAAGGCTTGATTTCAAACTCCTTTGCAGCCTCATATTCGCTTCCTGCGTTAATCTCCTATACTGCAGCAGCTCTTTCTTTCTGAGGCAACGGCGAGGGCGTAGGGGAATTTTCTCCTGCTTCACTTCACCCCAAACACTATTCACTGAGGGCTCATATAAGGAGCCACCATATCCTGCTAAAACAAACAGCATTGAGGAGGTAGAAACAAACCCTTTTGTCTCTGAGTTATATTTATCCAGTCTGCCTTCACAAAAATGCCATCTCTCACAAGATTTGTTTGCTCTGTGACTGAATTAGATCACATGTGACTATAACGGCAGCTCCAGAAGCCTAGAGCCACTTTTTCTGCTGTGTATTATAGATCATATAAGAACAGTTAACCTGCATAAGAATATGTCCCACTCTTTCATTTGTTAACTAGCAAGCTTTATTCAGAGTGTTTGACACAAAGCTGCCTAGTGCCTCAGGCCTCTCTGGGAGATAAGCTGAACACCAGCACTCCCTTCACCGATGTTCTCAGTCCTACAAGCCCTGTAGGCCATGGCTCTTCAGAGAGCAGTGTGGTCCAGAAGACAGGAAACAGCTTGAGAGAAGCCCCAGCAGTCAAGGTTGTGGGAGCGCAGAGGACAGGGGTGGGGAGAAGGGGGATTTCCTCATATGGCACTGGGACTTTTGTCAAAAGTGTTCAGTCCTCATCTGTTTGTCCAATATATGAGAATGTGATAGGGTTGATGATGGGTTTGTGAGGTCTGGAAAGTCTCTTGACTGTAATCAGATCTATTGAACTCCTCCAGGATGATACTCAAAAGTAAAAGATCAGTCAAACAACCATTAATAATGACTTAGTAATGTAATTATTGTAATCAAAGTTTGCACCATGCTGACTGCACAGCCCCTCTGTATGCAAAGCACTGACAGACTTGACTTCCTTTTGTAGATTACATCCCCTGCGCACATGATGTTTGCCCTATGGGTTGCACACTCATTATGCATCATCACACGCTTTGAGTCAATTATTAGATAAATTATTCAGAGGCTGTGTGATGGTTTTGAGGGGAATCTCTGCTTACTGTGTCTTTAAAGAGGGGAGCCTATACTAAAGAAAGGAGGGGGCTGCTGTGCGCCAGTTGGAGGTGTCTGCCTGTCGCAGCGGCTTGGGGTTGACATTAAGAAGAGCGTGTCCACGCTTCTGCGGGCAGAAACGGCGCAATTTGACGGCACTGATCCACAGATCGAGCTGCTGACAGACAGATGCTCGTCAGCCCGAGGATACATGGATGGGCAGAGAAATATTACAGTCGGAATTAACTTGTCAGCCGGTGCGAGGGATTATTGGATATAATGGGGAACACGACACCTAAACCTTTAATAGGTGAGGCTTGTTGTCCATTTGTAATTCACGAGGCTTGTAACGCACACGCACAAAATGGGTGTCTGTGAGAAACAGCTTAATAGCAAAGATTCACATGGCTTGTCCTAATTCCTCTGGGCTACTTGCGTTCGCTCTGTGTAGAGACGCGCTTTCCATCACGGGGATCCGAGTGTGATTCCCAAGGAGCGAGTCCAAGCGCTCCAACAAATTCACTTTTTACCTATCATTTGTACGATTCCATTCAGTGATGCAAGCCTTAAATTTAGAAAAAGTGCTAATGATATGCATAAAGCAATCAGACTAGTCCTATTTTTGGAACCAGTGTCTAAAAACGGATAAATAAATCAGTTTGACCAAAAGGAAAAATTGACAGCATTGAAAGTTTTTTAATATGCAGTAAAAAGGTGGGTAAGTCTTTTGCATTCCTGACTGAGACAAACAGCCAATTTCCAAATTACTTAAAATCACAGTAATCTGCATTAGATGGCTCCTCGGTTTCTGCGTTTTTGAGTGTCACCACACTGTGGTGCACAGTCACATTGATGTTTCTGTATTTGCTGCTTCGTTTTTATCTGTTTTGTGTCACCTGCAGTAACATAGTATTTAATATCATGTGTGTATCCAAGAAAAAAAAAACTACAGAAGACACTTTGTCAAAATATAACTAAAATTATAACAAGCACAGCAGTAATTGTGCCTGGTAATATTCTGCAGTTATTCAAAGTTTTAAAGCTCTCTTATATGAAGTGCAATCTCAAGTGATTGCCAGCGAATTATTCTTGGATGTGACTTGATTGCCAGCCTCATGTTTTTGCATAAAGCTGTCATTATGAACTCTCAGAGTATCACTCCAAACCACTTCGTCATGCCACCTAAAGCACATTTCTTGATAATCTGTTCCCCATATCACTTTGACTTAATGTCTGTTGCACTCCCACGCCCCCCCACCAGACCCACTCGGTGGCTAAACGATGTGGTTACTGCCACCAGAACCAGCTGACGTAGGGTTTGGACTGCAAACATTTTAGTCACAGAGGAGCAGGAGCAGCTTGGGTCCTATTGCTTGCCCTGTATGGCTTCGATTAACATGGAGTTAATAGAATATCTGTGTGTACAGGGTCTATAGTGGAGATGTGCACAATATATTAGATGTGCACAGTGTATCAGATGTAACAAAACAGACCCTGAAATTCCCTTAAAAACCACAGTGATTGAGTTACTGTAAGATGGATGCATATAGCCTAGAGATATGAGAGAATAAAGGACCCCGGCCATCTTGTAGCCAAAGATAGCTCTGACAAATGCACATAATTAGTTTTACATTTCAAAAAGTTTTTTTAGCACAGCATTGTGTCTGGTGCAGTCTTATGATTGCCTTTATTTCTGCTTTTTCTTAACAAGACAGAGAGGCATTGTTCTCATTACCCAGCTGTTTCTCTTTACATGTATTTGAGTCATGTGTAGTAGCAGAAGCATACTGCATGTAAGGCTTTTGCTTTTGACAGTGTCAGCCTCCAAAACTCTGCTAAGCTGTGCATGATAATCACATTTCTGATCAGCTTCCTGGACCACTATGTCAATGTCTTTGCTTTTTTGATGATTTTGGTGGTCATTAACTACAGGGACCATCAGGTGTCAATGACGTCGCTGTTTCCTGCTCCTAAAACAGAGTCACATGACTGGGTCACATGTGCTGGGGGCTTTTGATAACATGATTATAAAATGGTCACATCAACAGGCTTTAAAGTGCAACATACAGTATGTGCTTCATAAAGTGGTATTCGGAGTAGATATCCACTGCTGACACTGACCTAGCACCACTTTGTATCTCTTATGTACTAACATTAAGTCATAGTGTTAAGTATCCCCCCCCCCCAAAAAAAACTAGCAGTCTTTGAAACATGCAGAAGGTCATTTAACAAGGCTTAGCACTGTTCTGAGGGTATTTCCAGAATCCTGAAAGACTCTATTAACCATCTGGTACTGCTCCATCTGCACAGTAAAAAAGGTTTTTAATCTGTTTCTCAAGTTTCCTATCCAGGGAAATGGAAATGACATGTCCTCGCTCCTATGGTGCAATACTAAAAAAAGAAAAAAAGGCAGTTTGAGAAATAGAAATAGAAAGCAAAATCAATATAAATAAATATAAATGCCAGTAAAATATTTTAAAGGTTGCTTGTGAGGTGTTCTTGTAAACAACAAAAGTTATATTTACATTCAGTGTACACCAAAAGTCATTGCCTGTATCCTTCAGGCCTAGCAAAAACACTGAGTGCAATTTCATCCTCACAATACGCTTGCTAGACTAGTTTTGTTGTTTACTTCTTTAAACCTTCAGTGGGTAAATCCCTGTTCCTTCACTTGATTGTTCACTCCTTGATACTTGCTCGATGCAGAAATCACTCCTGTCTGCCATCTTGAAGGGCACCCTAAAGCTTTTATACCTGCTTTTATGAGTGAGGAGTGAAGATTCACAAGCGCATCCTTCAGAGAAGTCGTTATGACCAATGCCCCTTTCATTGAAAATCAACTGGTGATTGGATGCTTCAGATGAAGGATGGGAGGAAAGGACATCTCATGTCTCCTAGATGTGTTTCCTTTGGTGAATCCCAACTCCACTACTTGCATCCACGTTTCCCTCACTTGCATTTTTTTCCTTGCATCTTAGTCCCGACACAACTGAGGGAAACCTGGATTAAAGGATTAGGCCGGTCATTTTCTATAGTAACAGTATTTTCATCAATCTCCATACAGACAGTATAACTCACAATGAGCTGCCTCTACTGACAGTTAATGTTTGTCAGCTGTCAGTCCTGGATTAGCTTGTTTGTCTGTGGGAATGATCTTTGTTGTTACTCCGGACTGATTAAAAACACGTCAGTGAAACACAACACTTCGCCTGGTGTATTACCGCCACCTGCAGATCGGTGAAATGGTGTGAAACTGTTGTTGGGATGCACGGACATATTTTTTCAATCTTGCAGGACACAAAATACATTTTCATCCAAATGGTTAAAAGAGTCTGGAAGGATTCTGGAAATGGCATCTGATGAGTTAAAATTGAGTTATACTAACTTCTGGCTTTTTTAGTGATGGGTATTTGTTTTTCAGAACATCAGATGCTCAGCTTTGTAATGTTGTAACGAGAGGCACAAACTGGGGCTAACATTGACCATGCTATAAGCGTTACTTCACCAAATGACCTGTTGCGCTGTATCTTGCCTCTGATAATGGTGAACAAGTGTCTGTAGCAGTCTTCACCATTGGTCCTTTAACCGCAGAGTCTCAGCACATCACTCTGTAAGTGAGTTAGTTAAGCCTAAGGCCTATAGGGTTGAACTCAACACGTTTTTTTTTTCCACACACTTTAAACAAATTACATTTCACTTCCTCGAAAGCCAAATTCTTTGAGTAGAAAGGAAAGAGGCACGCACACATTATTTGACATCTTACAGATGTTCTTGCTGCAGCTTCACAGTTCAGAATATAATCAGTGACTATGTCTAATTTAGGCAATGTACTGTGGAACATTTCACTGAGTTATTGTCTTTACACCAGATCACAGTGAATTTTAAACACAAATGTTATCACTCTGTGGGCCCGGAGGAGGATAGAAACACTGCCTCCCTTTGAATATTGGATTTCAGCCAGTCAATACCACAAACATTCATCTACAGCTTTACTGTTATGTGATATTAAACCCCAAACAATCCAAGTCTCATTCCAGTCAGTGTTCACTTTGTCTGTTTAATGATTTCTGATCCTTGTTAATTTTTTTTTTGTGATGCTCATCAAGAAATTATTTTCCAAAGCAGGATGCTGGCTCCTGTGAAGATGAGATCACAGATTAAGACTAAATTTCTTTCCTAACAAAGCACTGTGTTTCATTCTCCATTTCTGAAGATAACTGCAGGAATGAAAGGGGCTATTCAGGGTTTGTTTATGCTGTAGGCCAAGGGTGTGTGTGTGTAGCCCAAAACACACTGAGAGACGCCGTGCTGGAGACAAATTTCTTGTACGCTCAACATACTTGACAGTTAAAGCTGATTCTGATTCTAATTCTGATAAATAAGAGGAAGACATGTCTGTTGAGCTTTTCTCTCCTGTGATGCAACTGATGCTAACTTTGCTCAAATCTATGTGGATTTCACATACACCACATATCTTTTTTATGTCTCCCAGCAACAGGCTACATGCACATGGGTTTTGTTTAAACCTAGTTTTTTTTCTGATATAAATGTAAAGACGACTGATTTGGGACAGTTTGGCTTTTCATACAGTAAATGTAGGTTACATGCTAGGACTATTTAATGTACTTGTTGAAGTGAGCAGAGAAGCTTCATAGTATCAGTGTGGGGAAAGAAGTGCGTGAGGCTGTGGGTGCCTTTACATAGCTACCCTTTGCCCTCTAAACCAACTGCCATAGACCACTTGCAAACAGGATATTGTATGCCTCTTCTTCCAACACCTTGTGTCACACATTACTGTTTTGACCTCGTTTGAGTTGCACAAAATCATACCATGTTGCTCTCATATTTAGTTGGACAGGCTGAATCACTGATGACTTTTCGTTCTCTCACTGTACCCCTGATGTTTTTACACCCACAGATGCGACTCTGCAACCCCGCCCGGTGGCCAGCAGGCAGTACTACACCCTGCCTAACAGTGGAGCAGGTGTGGAGAGAACGTCTGCTCCTCCGGTCAACATCAACATGGAGTCCCCCCATTTTCACCCACATGCCAAAGGCAAGAATATCAGACTGGATGGACAGCTTCGCCGTGCCACGCGCAAGAACAGCTTCTGTAATGGTATCACATTCAGCCACCGGCCTGTACACCTCTACGAGAAGGTGTGCTTTTATCTCTTTTTCACTCACTCAATTTTTAAGAGCTACAGATGTAAAGAATATAATTGCACTTATATCATTGCTGTTTGTTCAGGTGCGCCTTCGTTTATCTGGCGTGCATACTGGCTGGAGCGGAGCTTTACGCTTCGGTTTCACCAGTCTGGACCCCAGTGAACTGGTTGCTACCGACATCCCCAAGTATGCTTGCCCAGACCTGGTGACACGACCTGGCTACTGGGCCAAAGCTCTACCTGAAAGACTAGCCTTGAAGGACAACATGTTGTCATTCTGGGCTGATCGCCATGGAAGAGTTTTCTACAGCATCAATGATGGAGAGCCCATCCTCTTCCATTGTGGGCTCAGCATCGGCTGTCCACTCTGGGCCATCATAGATATCTATGGCATCACTCAGGAAGTCACACTGCTCGGTAAACATTTCACTATGTTGTTTACTCACTCTGGGAAAATACTCCTATGAAATATTCATTATCTTTGCCATGACACAACCAAGAGAGAGACAAGCAGTAATCAACTCATACAAAGGGGAAGAGAGAGAAACATATTTCACAACTGAATCTTTTTCAACATGCATCTTTTTCCATAACTCCGGGCTCAAACCTAGAACCTTCTTGCTGTGCAGCAACAGTGCTAAACATTGCACCATTACTAATCACATATATCCAAAATGGCTTTGTGGATATTTACCAGCATCAGTGCAGTTAAGTTTTTAACCAACTTTTGTTGGTTTGTCCACAGCATAACTCAAAATGTTCTGCATAGATTTGGATGAAAGTTTTTGGAGAGGTAGGGTATCGTCTACAGAAGAATCCTTTAGATTTTGGTGCTGATCAGAATTTTTTTAAAGGATTCTTCAGCAGACCTGTCCAGGGTGAACCCCGCGTCTCACCCAGTGTCAGCTGGGATTGGTTCCAGGCCTCCGTGACCCTATTCAGGAATAAACGGTATAGATGATGGATGGGTGGATGGATTCTTCACCATTGTGAGATAGGGCCAATTTCAGTATTTTTGCATCTAACTCCTTACATAATGCCTAAAATGCTTGGACATCATATTACAATGTTCAGCCCATCATGGAAATAATGATTGGCATTATGTCTTGGCACAAGTGTGTGCTTTCTGAGTGCTGTCTAGTTTTTTTGACTGGAATCAACTTCAGCTAGAAAGGCCATGCATTTTGAACATGGCTTTGAACCATGAAACCTCAGAAACGTATTTTTATAGTGTCAAGCACATTCACAGCTAATTTAAGCAGCTTGCCAAGAGCCCAGAGAGCAGCTGTGCCACTAAACCTTGCAGCAGCAGAGGCCTGCGGCATATAGTAGGAGCAGGCGGTGCAGCCTGGGGCAATTTAACAACTCAGTGATTTGTGCTATAAATCTGTACTACAAATGGAGTTTGTATGGAGAAAACCAGAGGCTCTTCCTCTTGGATTGATTGACCTCAAATTAAAAACAGATTTTAGACAACAGATACCATTAAGTCAGTTCATCCCTGCTCCTCCTTTAACACTCCCTTACTATCACTTTCCCATGTTTTCGTCGCTTTCTCCCTCTATACTTCCTGCACTTCCATCACCATGTCCTCTGTAGTTCACCCTTGTAGTCAGTGGGTGTGTTTATCTTCACTTTGACAAGAGTTGTGGCCATGTTTGGTCAAGGCAGCAGATCCCAGGAGCTTTGGTGAGGGCCCGGTGCACTCAAGTGCTCCAGCATCACTAGAAATAGTAATAAAGGAATGTATCATTAGTCAAATGGGGACTACTAGCAGCAGACTTGTTTATATCAGCACATTATACACAGAGGAGTTCAGCTACTATGAATGTATGAGGCGTAGTGTCCGTGTTAGCCAAGGGGGAAAATGAGGTAGGGAATGAACTGTTGGCCGGCACATCGTATTTGTACTCCAAACAAAGATTTATGCAACTTCACAGCAAACATCACAACAAGAGCAGCAGAGAGGGGACTCTTGGCGTAGATGCTTATTTTACCTCTCTGATTGCAGTGTCCATCAACGCGTATTATCTAATACCATGACAGTGAACAGTGTCTTATTTGGAAAATGTATAAAATATCATTACGGCAGTGGCTATATTGTAAATACATTAACGACTAATATTAGTTTAGGAATTTGCAGAAATGTCTGGTTATACTGTACATTTTGTTATGTCATCTTTATGAAATAAAGTGTTGGAGACTGGTCAGTTTAATCAATTAGTCAAGCAACAGAATTGTCAACTTATCAGTTATCAATACACAGTTAAATATGTTTGGTGCATTTAACTTTGTATTGATAACTGATAATTAATGATAAAGTTTTTCTGGGGAAAATGCCAAATATATATAAATGCAAAATGAAGAAAACAGTCCTGAGCATACTGGGGACACATGATTACATGATACTAGGTACAGGTCATGTACTTGCTTGTCCATCTTCTCTGCCACAGAGAGCACATTTGCTGAGAGTGTGGGATCCAGCTGCCTGACTGCGGCCCGTTTGAGTGCCTATCTCCCCCAGAGTAGCCATGACTCAGCCAACTACAGCAACAACCAACTGGAGAACAACCAGGCTGCTGCTACCAAGATGGCCAACCTCCAGCTCAGTAACTACACTCAGCTCATTCCCTCCTGCTCCTCCACCTCTTTCTCCTCCACACCTTCCTCATCTGTCTCAACTGGATTCAGCATCCCGAGGGTGGTTCGGGGCCTTCCTTCCCCACTGGATAATGACTTGCACTTTCACCCCGTCCGTGGATCTGATGTCATACTCTCTGCAGACCGCTCAGTTGCCTGCATCCACTTTCTGGACAGCAGCCGGACTCTGGTGTTCAGTGACCGGCCACTGCATGCGAGTGAGACTTTGTATGTTGAGGTCGGCCACCTGGGTCTGCCCTACTTTGGGGCACTGTTGTTTGGTTTAACATCCTGTGACCCAGCTAGTCTACATGCTGGGGACTTGCCAGCAGACCCAGAGGTTCTCCTAGACCGTAAAGAATATTGGGTGGTGCACCGGGGCTTTCCCATGCCTTGCTCCGGAGACGTGCTCAGCTTCAGTTTGCTGCCTAGCGGAGAGGTGCACCATGGGGTGAATGGAGTGGGACGTGGCAGGCTACTCTGTGTGGACTCCTCTCAGGTCTTGTGGGCCTTTTTCACCCTGCATGGGGCTGTCAACAGACTCAGGATACTAGGTAACCTGTGTGCATTTACAGCAGCCAAAACTAACTACACAAAGTGATGATATGAAGAATTTCAACCAAATTTTTGTGTATTCTATTTGCATGAAAGTTTATAAAGTTACAATTCCTACAGTCATTTTTATTATTTGACACTATTTTTTAATCTAATAAAACACAAAATATCAATTTAACAACACCATCAACAGATTATACACATCAGGGTCTCTTTACAGGTCTTGCTGCGTATTATTGAATATCTGAAAAACAAAAAAAAGTTGTATGAAGCCCATTGTGGACCCAGAGGGAGCTGCACAAAATCTGATAATTTGCCTGAAGTGATGTTACCTGAGGTTGGGTCGGTCGGGTCTCAAGAGTAGAAGTCTGAAAAGTGATAAAATCTGTGGGTGAGGCGTTAGAAAGCAGTGAGCTGACCAGGCCTCTGTAGCCCACTCCTCATCTGTACATGAGGCTAGTGGCTTGAGGCTACTTTAGTCACATTATGTTGCTTTGTGGGTTATGTAAACACCAGGTTTTGACAAGGAAGAAGAATGCATGGAATAAACAGCCGATCTCACTGTTTCTGCTGCATCACTTTTGATACTTTTTATTTAACCGTCCACAGTGAGTTTGACACTAGTAAAGGAATGCAATGCTAAATTGACAACTCTTTTAAGACAAGCTAACCGGTAAATGAGAGCGGCATCAATCTTCTCATTCTTTTATTTCTCGAAATGTCGACATTTTTCTTTTAAACTAAAATGATAAAAGCCCAAAAAGGACACACTTCTTCAGTTATCATCAGCCTATTCTTGAGTCTAGCCAGTCCCTGCAATGTATTTTTTCCCAGACTAAAGGAATGCAGTCAAGTAGTTTATATCTGCATGTGCCTGCTCAGTTTAGAGAAGTGACCTGTCTGTCCTACTCCCACATAAACTCCCATCAGCTCTGGTTGTTTTTGGTTTCTGAGCCAACATTATCCCTAAACAGAAACATCAAAAAGAAAATAAATCTCGGAAACTTCATGCAATACGAATATGCACATCTAATCTGAGTGCTTAGGCCTGGTCATTGTGAAGCCTTACACTCTAGAGTCAAACAATTCAAGGAGACACTGTATTGAAATGAAACTACAGTTAAATACACAATTTGTCTGAATGCCATATGCTCTTCATGAGTCTAGTTATCTGGGCTGTGCTCGTGTATTTATCTTTGTGATATAGGAACACTGCAGTCCAGTCCTCCATCCACATCCCCCAGCACTTCTCATAGCAGCAGCCCTGATGACAGTGACTCAGACCTGGCATTCAGTGTCAACAGATCCTCCTCTGCCTCTGAATCCTCTCTCGGTAGGTTACCAAATGTTATCAGAATGCCTAAAGGGATAGTGCACATATGGTAGAAAGCTTCCTAAGATCCCCACAGTGGTGTAGCCTAGAGGCATGACACTTCTGTTGGAGCACACTGTTATGTGACATGGACAAAGACGTTTTGTCTTCATTTTGGTGTGTCAACCACCAGTCTCTTTTGATTTACATTTTCTCACTCTTTCTCTGTGAGATATTCCTCTGTGACTTGGTACATACTGTACCCTAACAAATAATCAATTCATTTATCTGTGAACGGACAGAAAACTAATTTGCAACTGTAGTTAATGAATCCCTTAAATTATTTAAGTAAAAACACAAACATTCTTTTATTGAAGCTTTTCAGATTTGTACATTTCCTTGTAAATCGGCGTGCACTTAAATTACACTTTGCTACACACAGTGCAGTCGAAGCGCTTTACAATATTTTGCCCCTTTAAACTACACACTTACTCAGATAGCACCAAACCACCATACTATCATTTCTTGGGAACCAGGATGAGGGTACAGCATTTGAAGGAAGAGGGTACTTCACAAAGCTCCAGTGATGTATTACCGAAGTCACAGAGGAACAGCTCACTGAGAAACAGTGAGAAAATGTAATACTCTGTAAACCCTGGGCTCAGTTTGTGGTCGTACTGGGCAGCTTCCAGCAGTGAATGTGTAACTGTGAATGTGAACAGGAAAAAGAGAGGTGGCCTCTCAGTGAACCTACCCTGAATAAGTAACGGTTAAAAAACATAGCCAGGGATCAAACCGCCAACCCTACAGTTAGGGGACCACCTGCTCTAGCCACAGCCACCCCCAAAAGGGCAGTTCCTAACATCTGATAAAACCAGACATTTGATGACATCACCTTGGGATCTAGGAAACAACTGTGATGCTATATATATATATATATAAATGAATACAAAAAATAATTGATTGTGAAGATAACATTAGTTGTAGCCATAGTACAAACAGCTTTTGTTAAATTTAATAATTTAGAAATATTTTCATCTTTCACTTTAGGATTTTAACACAGTAAAAGCATCAGTACTGCAGATCTGAATCTGGCATCATCTGTCCACAAATACAACAAGAACAAGGGTTATGTGTATACGTGTCTTCATGTCCGCTCTGTTTCACCACCCACGTTTTCCTCCTTCTCCTAGTGACTGCTCCCAGCTCCCCTCTCAGCCCCCCTGTTTCTCCCACTCTCACTGCCTCAGAGCTGCCCTCTGCTGGAAAGAACGGAGAGTGCACCATTTGCTTCGACCAGGAGGTGGACACGGTCATCTACACCTGCGGACACATGTGTCTGTGTAATGACTGTGGGCTGAGGCTGAAGAGACAGATCAATTCGTGCTGTCCAATATGCAGAAGGCCCATCAAAGATGTTATCAAAACATATCGGCCATGATGGCAGACATGTTTAAATGGGTGCTGTGACTGGTGACTGCCGCTGCTAGACGCCACCTGTTTCCCCTTCTCAGGCTTTGTCGGATACAGATCTGGACCCAAACTGGAGATTTAGCCACACCAGGATATAACTGTGCCTATATTTCCATTTTGTATGATTAAATCATTTCTGGAGATAGACTAGTCTCCTCAGACACAGGGCTCTGACTAAGCTGCGTTCATGAGCTCCTATATTTTGGCTAAGAAATCACATGCTCCTGTTTTGCATTTTCATTGTGATGTCTCCTATGTCACATGTATTTGCCAAGTAGAAAAAAAACCCTGCTGTGAATATTTTGTCCTTACCTTCAGTGTCCTAGATTTATGTGTGCTTCAGCAGAATACGCTGACTGTAGTCTACGACTTCTAGTGCCTTAGATTTTTGTCACATTGTGTGTCCAAGTAATTATGCTAACAATCCTAGCCATATTTCCAATGTACAACGGTTTGTGGTGAGAATGACACATAGATAGAGAATTTATAATAAGAGCAATAAGAGGTGTAACTGTACATGGAAAGATGTAAGTATATGTAAATGTTTTTAGTGATGTGCTTTAAGAAAAGTTGGTTTGGAAAGTTCAAAATGAAGAAAATGGTTTTGCACATTTAGAGACGAATAAAACTCAACAAAGTGTGATTAAAATGTGTCAAACTTCAGTAGTAAGACTGATATAGCTTTTCCCTGTAAGAAAACAAAGGCTGGATATCTGTGAGTGACACAGTAACCCCTACTGCATTGTACCCCTAGTATACATACTGTAGTATGCCTTATGATCATATGCTGCAGAAGAGCTACTAAACTGACCCTGAGGTGAGACTCTTTTGTCAGCTGATCTTTCCAAGGTACTTTAAAACCTGAAATAGCTTAAGTAAAAATTTAAATTTTAGCATCTTCAATTCCATGACAACTGGGAAAACTTCATTTATATCTAAAAATCATGTGATGGTGTAGAAATCTCCAGAACAGCTACTGAATGGACCTGAACGTTAGACTGTTTTGATTGCAGTTACATTAGTTCTCTAGGCTACTTTCTATAGTAATTCTAACTTTTCTTATTTGTTTAGTGTGAAAGTGTTTATCACTGAAACTTTAGTGTGATTTTGTAGCATAACAAATTATGTATCAAAGGCTTTTCCTGTTTTTAAAAACTGGATATAAATGTAGGCTGTTTTAACTTGTCACAGGACATACAGCACAGGTGAAACAAATACTGTATGTTAACGCTGGCTCATGTCCATCAAGCATCCCAGTAAGCCATGACAGTGGACCAGCATGCACAATATAAGGACCATGGAGTTAATTAATCTAAATAAAGTGCAACTGTTTTTAATTTTATTTATTTCACCTGTCCTCCTGCTGTGATATGCCAGAATACCTGGTGTCTGAGAGGTCCACCCTATTGTGCCAAAGCTACAGGGGTGAGGAGATGGGAGACAGGGTGGAGGTCTTACATTTGAAAATGAAAACCCTGTAAAAGCCTAGTTCACATCGACTTAAATTCAACAGGTAACGGGGGACATGACTTCAGTGTGATACTGATGTTTCTCAGGCTCTTAATTTTTTTGGGAACATGTTAGCCATAAGCTGGTATTTCAGGCTAGTGGTTGCTTTGGAGAGTTTTTTCTGACTTTTGGGTTTCCTGTTGTGTAAACATGCAACTATTTGCTAGCACATCTATGTAACACCTAATCACAAGTTCTAAAAGTCAATAAATGCAGCAGAACTGTGAAAGACAACCCATTGCATTACCATTTCTGAGTGGTTGTAATATTAGCATGATGCTGTAGTGCTGGGAACCTCCACTGTGACATTCCATTGATCAAAACTCACAAAACCCAAATGATATAGATATAGTTAGATAGACTCAAGGTTACCAAGAAACAGGTATTTAATAAACACAAGGATTAAGGCTGTAAGTAATAAACAAAAAGCTACTGCTGTTTTCATGAAAACTCAGTGTTGTGTTGAAGTATTCATGAATCTTTTTATCAGGACAAAGAACCTAGGAAAAGAAATGTACATTCAATTAAGAGAATTTGGATCTAGCCCGCTCAAATTGTGACAAGAGAGGAATCAACACATGTTGAGAGGTGACACGTCCTTAACGCTGAACAATACAAAGTTGATTAATATAAAGGAGCATCACATGCTGAAATACAGCTACTTAAGATGATTTTAAAAAGGTGTTAGTAATCCTGTCCAGTTCATTTTTGGAGTTCTGTGTGGAAGGGATCAGGTTTGGCTTTGTTCTGCTTTTAGTATTGTTGATAACACCAAAGAATTTATGATTGCAACAGTCCTCTGAGAGAAGTGGTGCTTTATCTGACAGAAATGCAGGGGTGCTGATATTTTTGGCCATGAGGTACATGCGACAACTGAACACTAAACAAAATAGAAGCTATAGATTTTTATAGTTTATAATCTGAAACATATTTAAATTTCACAATTCAAAACAGTGAGTTTTGCTGACCCTCAGCCAAGTACATTTCAGTGACCACCAAATCAAACCACATCGTTCATATGCAGTTGGCACAACACTGGCAGTGTCATCTTTATCAAACATAACTGCAGTCAAGCAATTTCGACCATGGAGTCATTTTCTGTTTAGTTTAACTTGAAAGGCTGTGGGTTATGATTTCAATGCTGTTTGTCCAAATGTAGAATTGTATATAACACCTGTAATGAATAATTTAAAACATTTTCTTAGATGCAAAATATTAACCATTTGTTTTTGTGTTTTCCCTGTTTGCAAGAATCCGTGTTGGACACACGAAGGCGCCATTTCCATGCGCAGGAGAAGCTCAGTTCAGTTCAGTTAATGAACAAATTGGTGCAAGATGTTTATGGCTGCTGTTGTAAACCTTAAAATAAAATAAGCTACACTATCCATGGCACGACTCAGCAAAATCACATATTCACATTCAGATCTCAGGGTCGTTATTTAATGAGAGCGGTACGGAGGATAGGGTCAGGGGGCAAAGACTGCAGGCTGTTCATAGTTTTGAAACAGCTCACGATCTTGAATCTGACAAGATCAGCGCTTCAAACTGAACACAAGTCTATAGTTTTTAATAATGCCCCAGAAGCTAACTCCGGGCTCTTCATTGCCCTATATGAGCTTCGCATCCTCACATTTCTATTGCGCGCAACCTAGCGCTCACATGCTTCTGAGCCAGCTCCCCTTGCAGAATGGAGCAGCGCGCAGGAGAGAACACGCTGACTTATGAGGACCACACGGTTCCCATGCATGCGTAAAGCGCATTACTTTTCTAATTATCACGGCACGCTTCAAGGCCTCCTACTGCTGCTCCGCAGGCGGAGGAGGGGTATGGTTTCGTCCCTGAAGAAGTTCAGGACGCCTTCCAATAAAGTCGTTTTGGAATTTTGTGCTGGATATATATACTTTTTTATCCAGGTCAGCACCAGAGTATTTCCACCATGGGTGCAGCACCCTGAGGGCAGATGGATTTAGCAGTGAAGGGCACGAACTGTTTGTCCCGGAATGAGAGCGACTGCGGACTGAGCGCCTCCTCCGGTGGAGTGTCCGCTGCGCTGGCCAGCGTGCTGATCTTCACCATAGTGGTAGACATCCTGGGCAATGTCCTCGTCATCCTGTCCGTGTACAGGAACAAACAGCTCAGGAATGCAGGTGAGGCAAAGGGTAAAACAAATAAACCCGGGCGGTGTGAATAAATGACGGAAAAAGCAGTTTTAGTGTGAAATATGCAAAAAGTATAGACAATGTATAGCTGGGAAAGTGTTTTAAATCAGTTTTTTTTAAAGAGGTATTTTTTAAAAATTTTAAACAAAACTGCTGAACAACGGTTTCTTTATACTTTTTAACCGAAGCCAAAAGGAAAATATTTGCTTCAGTGACTTTCAGTTTTTCCCTCTACATTCATAGCTAAAATTATGTAATATAACGTGTAGCATGTGACCTCTGGGTGTGACAGTCAGGCTGCTATCTGAAGGGAGCCTGTTGGCACAGTGTGATGGAGTTTCCACTGCCTTGCCTGTCTGTCTTCATATCCCTTCATAAATAATACTAATACCCTCTTCCCTGTATCTGGCTTTATCCTTGGTTTCTCCATCTCAGATAAATCATATCCCTCCTTCCATCAGAGCCAGTACCTGTACTGTATCAAGCTGAGGGAGACTGTCATGCAGTGTATGTGTCTGTTTGTACAAGTTTTATATCAGGCACAACCTCACATTTCATCATGTTAAATGTGATGTGTCCTGACAGCACTGTGACAGTGAGGAACATACTTACTGTCGTCAATTTAATGCAGTTTTTCTTCCTTGGCAAATATGCCATCATCATTCAATTGCCCCCTTTTCTTTTCTATCAAACAACCACTAAGTTAGTTGATATTACTTCATAGTCTAACTTTGAGGTTTAAATGCCTTGTTGAGTTGTACAAACTTTAACCATTACTTTTATATATACACATAAGAAAAAACAGAACAGTCTCTGCAGTAAGCTACTGAAGCCCCATGGGGTTTAAGATGTAAAAAATAGCCATCGAACCTCATGATTTTGTTTTCCAAACAGACCAGGGCAGAGACACTGAGATGCGCTGTTTGAAAGGTCTCTAAAAGCTGAAAACAGAAGAGCTCCAAAAAATATATGTTTGAAGTCGCACGGCTTTGAACTTAAAGGTTGTGGAGGCCAAGCACCATTACACCCAGCAGCTTTATGGCTAAACGTAAACTCAGGAACTTTCTGAGCTGAGGCAGGAGACTAAACTTGGCCATCACAATATGATGCTAATCAGAAGATGAGAGTTAGGCAGCGGATTAGGCCCATGAGTGTTTGTAATAATGAGCTTTTAATCACAGTTTTAAATACATTACATAAAACACCCGATGCACTCTTGTGTACTCCAGCCAAAAGAATTTGATTATATGGCGGGCAAAAATGACTCTGTGTGTGAAATGAACGGCAGGAGTAAACAGCCTTTTCAGAGTTTTCCTCACACTGGTGGATTATGAACACTGTGCTGATTGCAGACCTGATGTCACTGTCCTCCTGGTTCAATTTGACTGACAGGGATCTTGTGTGACCGGTCACACAAGAGCCCTCATCAGTGTTGTGGGGTTCTGTCAATCAGTCGCAACCTGACACCCCACTAGAAGCTCAGAGGAATGTTTGATCTCATGCTATCTTTTTTTTTTTAAGTGTGTCCATAGGTGACTGAAGTTGTTACTCTTTATAGGTTTGACTCACTTTGTCTCAGGCATATATTTTATTGTCAGGCAGACAACATCAGCTACTCTCTCTCCATTAACACTATTCAGAGTGCTGGCTTGCTTCTTCATACACAGCAGCAGGGATATTTTAATATTTTCAACACACCACAAATACAGATAGAACAATAACAATACCAATGACTAAATGGGAAACAGATTTGTCACTCCCCTCCAGCCCCAACTTCTTGACTGAGATCTGTAATAATATCTTCTCCATGACTACCAATATAAACTTGCAGCTTATACAATACAAGACCATTCACAGGACTCATCACACAAGGTAAAATGTTTAAAATGAGTTTCACTGATACAGATACTTCACAATGCACTCTGTGTTGCGCCGATGATTACTTCCACACTTGTTAAGCTGTTTACTCCCTCTGGGTAGCGGTGACAGAGAAACTCTCCACCATCTTGAGCTGTAGAATCCCCCCCTCCCCATCACTCTGCCTGCTTGGTAATATCATAGAAGTCAACCACCTACCAATTAAATATAAAAACCCACTTCTTATCTAAATCTAAAAATTCATTACACCTAAACCCCTGGATCAGCCTTCTCATAGAACACATCACACTAGAGAAAATATCATCCACCCATAAAGATAATATATCAGCTTTTACTGACACTGAATCTGTTTCTAACCACTTTTAATTTAAACCAGATAGCAGGGGCTGAGGCCACGCACATTCCCACAAACTCCTAGAAATATAACAAGCAGCTTTTACTTCATTATTGTTACTGTTATTAGTCCTCATTTGTCATTGTCCATGCTACTGTTTTGAGTGTGTCACGCCTATCAATCAAACTAGATTAACAGAAAATATAACCAACCCCCCCTTCTTTTCTTTCTTTTTTCCCTTTCCTCTCTCTCTCTCTAATATTTACTGATTTGTTAATTTCATTTATTTGAGTTTTATGAATACAGTATGTGTATACATATATATCTGGGTGTGCATAAATATCTGTATGCATATGTATATATTGTATTTATCTGATCAAAATTGCTTTATTATTTTTTCTTTTATTGTTATTTTATTATTCCAAGCATCCATTTTCTATCAAGCTGTCTTATTTACCCATTCATCTTTGCCCACCATTAACAAACCAGGAGTATTAGGGGATGTTCGCCATGTCCCCAGGAGCTGGGGTATGCAATCTGGGGTCACTCTTGTTGATTTAACCCTTGATTCAATTTTATTTTTCTTTAATATGTACTGAATATCAGTCTGCAAAGAGTTGGATACACCCACACTACACATTTTCACACACAAACTAAACTGAATAATCCCTTTGTCTCTTTTGTTAATGTTTGTTGTCTCATCTTCTCTGTTATGTCCTTTGTCCTGTAAATGTTTTATTATTCATGTTGCAGTAAATAAATAAAACCTCCATCATGTCCTTTATCAATACTTACATTTGCAGTGTTTGTCACAGAGTGCAGCCTGTCTCATGTCACAGAGGCGTATTGACCCCTTGCTGCTGCTGTAGGCAAAGGTGTGACACTGCTGGGGATGAAACTCCGCTGAGGTGATCACTTCCGTCAGCTCCTCCATGTTGGCCGGCTTGATGTCCACAATGTCTGGAGACAGGTGCTAAGGACAAACTCTAATATCAACTGTGGACAGCTGCTTTCATGTACAGCAAAGGGAACCTCTGATAAACTGTTCTCACAACTATTTGGAATAGAGAGAGTGACACAGTTTCTGTACAGACAGATCTGAACATCAGGGTTAGTCTCCACCCACTGTTTTTCACACACCCACACTTCTATGCCAACAGTAATATGTCCGGTAAGATAAAAGGATACTGAAGCTGCGGTCAGTGATCTCCAGGTTCCACAGGTTTACCCTGAGGTCATCAGTAGAGATGAACGTCTGAAGGTCAGAGTTGACAGAGATAGAGTTGATGTGGTAGGTATGGGCATTGCTGAAAACACGCTTGGCTGTAGCGTCAACCATCAAGTCCATGGGCTGCAGCACTGGCACCTAGGGGTGAAGATGGGTCCAACAGAAAAGGCAAAACTAAATGTAAATAATCACAGAAAAAAATGCAGGAAAAAATATTTATGTTGAAGGCCTTGATGGGTTTTGCAGCACCGATTCAACATTTGATGTACTTTTATGCTGGTTTCCTAAAGGCCTTCCTAGATATGTATCTGTGCATGTGTGAAAATGTGTGCACATAATTTGTTTGCTTAAATGAATTTTGTGTGTGTGAGCTACAATGAAATGACTCCAGGAATTCATATGACATTTACTCCACAAATCTTAATGAAACAGCTAGAGTGACTGAGGGGCTCCAGGGCTGTTTGATGAGGTGGTTCAATCAGACTGTGATTATCTGTTTGCTACACGGCTGCTCAGTGATCACACCCCCCTCTCTCTCTCTCTCGCTCTTTCTCTCTCTCATGGAAGCACTGAAGAAGCTACCCTTGCTCTGTTTTTTGTGTGTCTGTCAAAGAAATAGCAAAAAAGAGAGAGAAAACGAAGGAGGTGGAAACAGAGATGACCCGAGGGTATCGCTAGGCCCTGCTGAGGAATGATAACAGAACTATGCAGAATTAAGATGAGCTCTCTCTCTCTCACACACACATATACAAACATAAACAGACACAGTTACACTGTGCTGCTCAGGCTTCAAAGATGCCCAGCACCAGTCTGCATGCAGCCCCCCCATTGGTCAGATAACACCCAGACAAAGAGAGACAGGTGGGGAGGGAGCAAAGAGAACAAATTGACTGCTTCTTCCTTTTTTCCTCTCGTCCATCGCTGGCACTGACAGAGACATGGCAGCCCAGCAGGCTGCTGTATCTCCACGGGTGTCACTTCATTTCCATGTCTTTCACTGGATGTCCAGAGAGACACAGATCACATTAACCCATAACCCCCAAACACAGACAGCTAAGCTGTTCAGCCTGCCCCTATACCTTCACAATGACCTAATAAATCCTCTTTATTGTAGTATGTAAAAAGGAATATTTTAAAATGAGATAATCCTGCTTTAAAAAAGTAATTTTATTTTTGGCTGCATTTTGGATGAATATTTCTGAGGTTCTCCTCCTATGCTTTCTCTCCCCGAACAGATTTCATAGCCTCTAAATAGGATTGCCACACTGCCGGCCTGTACTCCAGGTTGCCATGATCCCCTGGCCAGCCACACAAAGAGGGACAGACACAATGAACACAGCACTACTCTACAATGGCAGACACACGCTGTCCTACGTGCCTGTCTGCAACATGTGAGAATTAAAGAGGTAGTGGACTGGTAACTCATTCTCACTTTCTTCTGCCAGTCTAAGTTTAAAATTGTCCAAAGATGGGACACTGAATGGTGCCAGACTATTGTTTATCAGTACTGAAATAGAGCATTTGATATTCAGCGGGTTTTTAAAAGCAAAGCTGTGCTGACTTTGAGAGAACAGTATGTTATACAGGATTACAAGCCAGCACAATCAGGGTCCTGGTATTGTAAATGCTTTTCACACTGTCATGAATTTGTGAGACACTTAAATAGAGTGATGCTGCTGTGAAGGCCTATAATCAACATTTTCTAAAAGGACAAGTTCAAAATTAATTCACTTTCTTGCCAAGTGTTGAGAAGATCAATACCACTCTCGAAGATTATAGTAAGTATGAAGCTAGAGCCAAGAGCTGGGTATCTTATCTAAGCATAAAGACTGGAAACACACTAGTGATAGTGATAAATAATCACACTAGAGAAAATATCATCCACCCATAAAGATAATATATCAGCTTTTACTGACACTGAATCCATTTCTAACCACTTTTGACTTAAACTAGACGCCAGGGGCTGAGGCCATGCACATTCCCACAAACTCCTAGGAACAAGCTGCTTTTTATTTCTTTATTGTTACTGTTGTAATTAGTCCCCAATGTCCATGCTACTGCTTTGAGTATGTCACACCTAAAAAAAAAAAGAATATCATGCACTACATCCAGTCACACTACAGTGTTGAATAAAACCCAAACACTTCAGTGTTCAAAGGGCGGTTAATTGACTCAGTGAGTCAAACCAGAAGCCAGTTTAAATTTACAGCACAGGTCCACTGGGAAAATCACTTAGCATGCTACATTAACAACAAAACAAAATAGTGGATGACATTTATTTTTCTAACATGGTAAGTGTGGAGGTAGGACATTATCAGATTGCGATTATTAGAATAGGATTATATGTGTAAATTACACCTGGATCGGGTAAATGTAATCTAATTGTATGTTTGCAGTACATCTCATTTTTCTCTCTACAGCAGAAGACAGTTTTATAAAAAAGAAAAGAAAAGAAGTAATTCTGTGTTCTAATGGTGTGATGTCTCTCAGGCCTACTGAGTCTTATTTACCTAGGCAAGTGGCCTTATTGGTGGCCTTTGATAATGTGATGATGTTTCATATAGGCTGCACCACCAAAAGGCAACTCTTGTCAGTATAATGTTAAAATTCTTAGAACAAAAATCCTCTGAACCCTTGAACATGAGCTCCTGAAGGAGTCACTAATAATTCATCAATGCTAAAGCCCTCACTTAAAGGTTAACCTTGCTAATTTACTGTATAATACCATAACTGACTAAGTAGAATCTAATCTAATTTGGATATGCACTTGTAGTAATAAGCCTAGTCCTGCTGACATTCAGCTGGATAGCAGTGAAGCCGACACTCCTACACATCCTTATGTGCTCATCTTCCCTTCAGAGGAGTATAAATATAGCTGGGTGAATCAAAGCGATATTGCGTTTTCAGTACAGGTACAGAAAAGCGGTGGGATACAGACAGTGGGTTTGACAAAGGAACATAAGCCCTTGAGATTCACATGTACTCAGTGCGATGCAGTTCGTCTAAAACTGAAAATCAACTCAGTCGGCGGCCTTCTGTTTTGTTTATCTCTTGAACTTGCGTCCTCATTATGTACCTATTCTTGCTCCAGCACAGCTCCCCTTTTTATTTCCAGCATGTTCTTTTTAATATTCAAAACAATTCAGCCAGAATGAAGCAATATGCCATAAACATGCTTTACATTGTACAGAGCCTTATGGAAGGCAGAGAGCGATGCAGTGCAGCCTGGCGTATGCTGCATGATTCTGGAGACAAATATCTTGTTCAACTTATGCTGACCTGAATATTTTTCTGCTGTATGGTTTAGATTTTTCTTTTATTTGCCAAAAAAACATTTTCTGCGACAGACGGAGACAGCCACACACTGGGGGAGTTCATAGGGTGGTCGCTCAATACTCAGGAGACACTTTAAAGCAAAAAAAATGGCTGATCTGATGCACCACTTCACTTGTTTGACAGATTTGTGAGACTGAGATCAAATAATAAGAACAAATGGTGTCACATGAGTTAAAGTGTATTAGACAGCTGTTTACGATGGCCTGTATCCAATCAGCATTCAGGTTAAACTCTTTTCAATGTTTCACTCAGTGATAATAATGACTCCCAAAGGTTCCAGCTGACACCACTCTATTTCGATTCAGGCGACACTGGCCAATTGTTTTACACGGAAGGTTTTGACTGCTGTGAGCTTGAGTGTGATGAGTATTAGGTCAGCCAAGTTGGGCAATTAAACAGCTAGAGGTAATGGTTCTTCAAGTGTTTTAATAATGGATGCCAGTAAAACGGAGTCATCTGACCACTTCACAGTAATCAGTGGTGTTTTAGCACCGACCTCATCCCTTTAATGTTATGTGGGAGAAAGAAAGCTATAAGTGAGGAGCAAACCCTGATAACACTGAGCCACATGATGTCAGTGAGGAATCAAACATCTCCACACAGAGGGTACTATGCGCTTCACAAATACAATTTGACAGATTTTCCTACTGAGCAGGATGAAGAACAAATGCTTTTACTTTCGTCTCTTCGAGCTTGAGAGATGACTCGTGCTGTTTTACTAACTTGAACTGTTCGTGAATGCCTGTGCCAGGTCTGTGGAAAAACCAGCTCTGACTGCTGTTTCTAAATTTAAAACAAAAATATCAGTCAAATCCACAACTTATGAAGTTGTAAGAATGTTGCGTGTTTGTTATTTTCTTTATCACTTCATTGAATTATTCAAGTTAGGCAAATGAATTCAAATTTGAGATGTTGCTAGATAACTTAGCTGTGTTGTCCCTAGAATGCAAGGATCCTGCCGAGCTTTCCATTCCAAGGAATGATGGCCAACATGTGTTTTAAATCCACTCTCAACATATCTGCCAATCAAGCTCTGTTGTTTCAGCTGTTATTTGAGTGCATGAGAGACTTGCACCTTCATAGATCATGAGAAAGTGGCTGTAAGCTAGTAATGCTAGTAATGTCAAGCAATATGTAATCACATTTTCAAACGGGTTCATTTTTACTCACTTTATCTATAAAAAGCTGGGTGATCTGTATTTATTGGCTGCAGACACTGGGTGTTCACTTTTATTGCAAATCTTCACCACAAAAATGTGTAGCTTGGAGACACATTAGACTCTTTATTGCACAACATCTGTTCAAAACATGGGAAGCTAATGTTTCAGTTTGATTGCATTATGACTCCAGTGTATGTTCTTGTTATCTGTGTTCTTATCTGACACAATTTGATTTATTGTTTTATTCTCCCCACCCAGAGCAGCTGCACTGGAACAATATCTGATGTCAATTTCTATGATTCATGTTTTCTAAGGAAATCCGGGGTCACGTCAGCGTAGACCTCAGGAGGACAGGAACTTGTTTGGATGTAATCTGACGCTAAAGTTATCCACATTGTGGTTTTCATGTACTCATTGTTCAACTGCCTGTTCCCAGGGGCAAAGACATTTTGAAACAAGAACCACCTTATTTGTTCCATATATTGGGACTGGACCTGTCAAATAAAAATACAACTAATTAATTCCTATTGCAATTGAGAATTGAACTGGCATTTTTGCACTTCTGGTTCCCTTGTCTATGAAATGAGCCACAGAAGACACAATGAAGCTACTTTTCTGTGATGGGAAGTCACAGTCGTACATTCAATGACCCAGTTTATTTTAAGGAATTTAACCGGGAGCAGAAACAGAAAAGGGAGTGCTGTAGGCTTTAATTATACGCCAGTCTGGCTCACATTTTGTTTATTATCTAAACATCTTCTGTTTCTCCAGGCAACCTCTTTGTGGTGAGTTTGTCCGTAGCAGACCTGGTGGTGGCATTGTATCCCTACCCTCTGGTACTGACTGCCATCTTCCATAATGACTGGACCATGGGTGACCTGCACTGCCAGGCCAGTGGCTTCATCATGGGCCTCAGCGTCATCGGGTCAGTCTTTAACATCACAGCTATCGCCATCAACCGCTACTGCTACATCTGCCACAGCCTCCATTACGACCGTCTGTACAGCCTGAGGAACACCTGCTGCTATCTGGGCCTCACTTGGCTGCTCACCACCCTTGCCACAGTGCCCAACTTCTTTGTCGGCTCGCTGCAGTATGATCCTCGTATCTACTCATGTACTTTTGCTCAAACGGTCAGCACATACTACACCATCTCAGTGGTGGTTATTCACTTTCTGATCCCACTGCTGGTGGTCTCCTACTGTTATATGAGGATATGGGTGCTGGTGATTCAAGTGAAACATAGGGTCAGACCAGAGCAAAGGACCAAACTGAAACCAAGTGACATGAGGAACTTCCTGACTATGTTTATGGTGTTTGTGTTGTTTGCAGTGTGCTGGGCTCCACTGAACCTCATAGGCCTGGCTGTAGCTATAAACCCAGTGAAAGTTGCGCCCAACATCCCTGAGTGGCTCTTTGTCACAAGCTACTTTATGGCCTACTTCAACAGCTGCCTCAATGCCATCATATATGGACTACTAAACCAAAACTTCCGCAAAGAGTACAAAATGATCCTACTTGCTCTTTGCGTCCCACGTTTCCTCCTTATGGACACTTCAAAGTGTGCCACAGATGGACTGAAAAGTAAGTCCTACATAACAAACAATAATGTGGCAGAGATCAATGTGTAAACTATGTTTTACTGGGAATCCTAGATAAAGTTGTTTCCAGAGCCTCATTGTGGATGTCTGCTATGACTCATCCAGTGCCTTTTCACAAGATGTGTGTCATGTAAAGATTTAATCATGTTTGAAGAGGACACTGCTGCCATTACATCCCTTTAAACCATTCCAGATACTACTGTTCCTTCATGTTGACAGAAAGTCAGATGTGTCACCGATACATTGTGCACAGTGTTTAAGGGCAGACAACTATATGGTTAACTAGCAAGAAAAAAAAAGTCCAGATGAGTTATTTTCTGTTCTCCAAATAGGATTGGCAGCATGGTGGGTAGTCAGTGTGAGTCAATACATACCGTTCAAGTCACTTCCCACTATGTGTACATCACATGCAAGAATGAATAAATGCCTTTTTGCACAGTACATCAGCAGCATAGTGAAAGAAAAATGAATGGAGTTTTTACAGACACTGTTATTGTGATTTAGCATTCATTAATGAAAAAGTCTAAAGGTTTGTTGTTTTCATTAATTGCAATCCTTAACCTAATTGTAGATTTAAACTGAAGCTCCTTTATTCAATTCTCAGCCGAATTACAAAGGATTTCATTATTTGGATTTTAGCAGTTGAGGATATTAAAACTGGGGTGAGCACCAAACTGGAAATGCATTTGAGCTGCAGTCTAAGCTCTGGTAAGTCTGAATGTGATATTTCATCCTCACTGTGTATGTATAGCTCAGTCCCTTCCTTTGCTGAGAGTGTGGGCTGTATAATTTGCCAAGATGCTGTTTTACCCCAGGCTTGTCTTCTGAGTAGTGATGCCCTGACAAAACACACTGGGAAGACTGTGGAAGCTTTTGCTCTGGTTTTAATTCAAGACAAAAAATAAATAATCAGACCCAGCTTTGTATCTTAATGGAAAAAGGAGTGCCTTGTTGATTGTAGAATTGAATTCTCTCATAGTCTTCAGACATTTCTTCTGGTAAACAAAATTGTCTTTTTCTTATTTCATCTGTCACATGTATCAGTTTATTGGCCTAAAAAGTGGTCACCAAAGTTCAAATTGCCAGGCATCCCTCTTTGGTTTGGAAATTTTAGAAGTCACGAATCAGGGAAGAACAAACAGATGATAAACAAATCTAGCTTTCTTTCCCATTAAATGTCTGGATGACATGATACGCATCAGGAGCCAGAGATGTAATTTTATGATATTCCAAGTGTGCCTGAGCACATGTCACTATTGATTGATTTATTGATTGATTTTATTCTTTCAAGCATGTAAAGACAGTCGATATGTCAACACACATAATTTCACACATATCCACAAATGTTAATCCAATATCAATGTGCTTATACCTAGTACATGCTTGAATGGAGTAGGAAGAAGTCAGACTTATCCAGTCCTACCCCATGACATCATCTTACCATCATTGGTTTGCAAGCAGAATCTCTACATAGATAATTTTGTTCTACACCACCACTATAGCCAGGATAAGCTCTGACAGGCTCCCATATAACTTCCACCCAGCAAACAAACTATGAGTTGTTCACCTCGGAGGGAGGTTCCAAGATGTCAGTGTGTCACATTCCTGATATGATGCACAGTTGCTGGAGTAGTAAGGTCGTTACACTAGTATCTAGCATATTTCACATTTACTTTCAGATTAATTATCTGAATTTTGTGCTTGGCTGCAGTTATATTTGGACAGCCTGCCTGATTTTGGATGAAATTAAAACCTCACTGGATGATTATAGATGCAGGAATAGGAATCTGATGGATCTTGGATCACCACAGACAGGCTCAATCTGTCTTACACAACCTGGTGCGCTCATGCTGCACTGCAGCAAAATGGCACAAAATGGTTCAATTCCACTGGCAGTTTTACAAGACAGTGTCCCTGATGTGGAAGAAAATAGCAGCCCACATGCCAGCCACAGTGAATAAAGGGGCTCAAGGGAACACGACACTGTCGGCTTTACCACGCCACAGAGTCACAGACTAATGGCAGGGTCATCCTTCTTCTCTCTCCTATTTCCTTCCACGCCTCTCAATCTTTTTCCTGCTCTCTGCATCTCTATTTACTGTATGCATCTTGCACACTATATAATGGCAAATATGATTTTTTGATTTTTTTTTTTATGCCTAGTACCACTCTTAGATATGAAGATTTAATTAAGAAACAGTTAGTTTAGCACTAAAACTGGAAACAGTGGAGACAGTTAATCTGATTCTGATTTTTAGGGCATTACCTGGTTTGTTTAATTCATACCAAAAACAAAAAACTGTCATGATTTAACTTGAAGAAATAGTCCAGCACATAGAGTAATGCCTTGAAAAACCACAACACATCATTTTTACATGTCAGTTTTTTTAATTAGTGTTTTGTTTTTTATCTTTAGAAAGAGCCATGCTTGTTATTTACCCTTGTTTCTGGTTGTTATGCTAACGTCAGACGAGCTAGCTCAAGTTGCTGATGACCAGCCACATAGCATGTATCGTATCTATTGCACCTCAGCAATGTCAAACTATTCCCTACTAAGCTCTACCTGTACATATTCTTGTGGCTGAAAACGCCCTCTTTGATATAAACAGATTAATATTTGACTCTCAGTCTAATGTAAGCATAGTTTAGCACAGAAATCTGACTTTATAAAATCCTACAAATGTTGGCTAACTAGTGACACTGCATTCCAAGATATATATCTTTGTAAAATAATAATTGGCATTTTTTACACACAATATATTGATAGAAGAGACTGCGACTCATATTAGTCAGTAAATAAATCAAAATACTGCCCAGAGTCCAGACTGGGTAACTGAAATGACTCTATCCACCCACACTGTCTGACTTTTTGCCTGTGATTTAATATGAATGCCAGTAGCTTGTGAAGACATTTTTTTATGGTCATGTTCAAGGTCAGCATGATCCATTTGGCCCTACACTATAAGATACATCATATCTCATGACTTTATTTTTCCCAATTTCACATACACTTATGTTTCTGTCTCACTGTGAGTGGTGTAGTCTCTCTGTAATGTCACCTCCATTTACTTTTGCTTTGCCTGCTACAGTTTTTAGTGCCTCAGGAATGCGTTCTACAGCCATGTCATGCCATAAAGCCCTTAGCATATGGGATATGTCTTTAATATAATAAATTATACCATTTTATTTTCATATAGTAGATACAGGCATAGGCAAGAACTAAGTAGAGCTTTTCACAGCATCCTCATGTACTGATGTCTTGAAAGCATAAATTGTCTGATTCTCTATTCGACAGCCAGTTTTTTTTCTTACTTATTTTCTCCTCCCTGTCAGTATGAGCAGGAGAGGCCTTGAAAAAATGATTTCTCATTTGTAGCAGATAAAGAATAGCCTATTTCCACAACAGCAGAAAACCCTGCCACAAATGTGGTTAACACAAAATGAATGAGTAATGAGGCATTATGTGGCCTAACCCTAGCATGACACCGTGATTCTTTGCCTGCTGGATGAAGCCAGACTTAACTCTTCCCGTCGCACAGGGTAATTTCTACAGCTGTTGCACATCATTGTGTTTTACAGCAGTGGGGGTCTCACTGTGGGCCTGCTGCCACAATGGCAAGTCTGCTAATGGAGTTGTGCATCAGGTTTAGCGGTGCCTGTGTTCCCATGCATATGATGTACTCCTATATGGCCTGTGGGTCATACTACCATGAGGTTTTAGGTGTTAAGGCTCCAAGGAAGCCAATGAGGGCTGGATGTAGAGATGATGGTGATTACCTGCATCGGATTATACAGTAGAGGTACCAAATAAGCAATCACAGTAACAGTACCAGTACAATAAAACCACCACATTACACGTAAAAGAGCTGTATTCACAATCTTACTTGAATAAAATAAGTAGTATCACTTAAATATACTAAAAGTACCAGAAGTAAAAGTATTTGTTCTGGACAAAAATGGCTCCTACACTGTGATTGATATTTATTATATATTACATTATAGGATTGATAATACTGATGCAACAATCTGTACAGGAAATACAGTAGTTTTGCAGCTGGTGAGGTAGAGAAACCACTCTGCTTTTTGTAAAGTGGTTTCAAGCCAATAATAAAATGAAATACATGCACCCTGAAAACAGTACTTAAATTACAGTAAATGTACTTAGTTACTTCTCATCATTGCATGTGTCAAAAAGAAAATCTTAGCCCATGAGAATGATGACATGAATAACACTGGCACCAGTTGTACAGTAAATGCACCAAATGACAAAGTGATGAACAGCATGGGACTATTTTTAAAGTGTTTTGTTCTCAATTTCATTTCATATGGAAACTTCACTTACAGTAAAAGTTTCTTGTTACGGTGCTTTGAATACTTTCTGAAGGACACCACTACTTGGTCAAAACAACAGGTGTGGTGTGTGGGGTGCTTGTTTGACACAGAGCACTGGTCACACGTGAAATGTAAAGACATAACTAGTCCAGAAAGAGAGAACCATGGGAAATACTTCTCTAAGGCCAGAGGACATGATCCATGAGGTAGGACAACCTGATATTAAACTTGTAATAGATGACCATTTGACCAGATCTGCATACTGCTGTTGCACTGAGAACACAACTTTTGTCTAGATTCTATTTTAGAAGCAGTTGTTTCATGAAATTCAATAATCTCTGGCTTATGGTCTATTCCCAAAGCTCTCCACCATAAACTCTCTAATTAGTTTTTGGTTTTGTATTTGAATACTCTCTCTCTGATCAACCTGACTTGGTTTTAGGTCAAAGACGTTTCACCTCTCATCAGTTCTGCCCGACTGGTGTTGAGCCAGAGATATTTATCCCCATTGGTGGTGTTTCAGTCCTTTAAAGGCCAACAATGTCCCCTAACAACTGAGTCCTTATAGCCCAGTATCGGTGAGAGTCATTACCTGTCTTTGAATCCTCCCCTGTGGACTGACGCCTATTGTCCTGGTGGGTATGTTTTGGCAGAGATCTCAAAACAGGATTGTAGACGGATGACAAGTTGTTTCTTAGTCCACCACCCCTATTTAGTGAGGGGTGTTCTATTTTTACAAAAATAGCTTCCTTGACTCCTCTCTCAAACCAGCGATATTCTCTGGAGAGGATCTGGACTTCACTGTCCTCAAAAGAATGTCCTTTGTCCTTCAGGTGGAGGTGGACTGCTGACTCTGGTCCACTGGGATTGGCCCTCCTGTGTTGGGCCATGTGCTTGTGCAGCGGCTGCTTAGTTTCACCAATGTACAAGTCGTTACACTTCTGACTACACTACATCACTCTGTTTATGTCTGGTGTTTTGTCCTTCGGGTGGACCAGTCTTTGCCGCAGGGTGTTGCCTGGTTTAAAGTTAACTAGGATATTGTGGTTGCGAAAGATCCTTTTTAACTTTTCTGATAAACCAGCCACATAAGGGATGACAGTGTTATCCCCTTTTGTTTCTGGTTTCTCCCTGCTGGTGTTGGGCCTCTTCCTTGCTTTGGTGAAAGCCCACTTGGGGTACTCGGGACACTTTACACAGTAAGGTCTAGAGTCCTTACTATTATTATTATAGAGGAAAACAGCCAAATATCAGAGCAGGCCTGAACTCCCCATCATCAGTGCCAAGCACACAGGGGCAGTGAGTTCCAGATACAAACATTTCTCCTTACTCAATGGGCCTCTTGTTTTAATTTCACCACAGGCCAATACCTTACAAAGTTGTGACCACAAAACTTTTACTAAAAATGATAACCAGGCCTAATGTAGAAAAGTGACTATCATTACACATTTTTTTTATTTTTATTTATATTTTTTCCACAAGCCCAAGCCTCTACTAAGAAAAAGAATGTGCTGCACGGCTAAACTGCCAAGACAAGTCCACATATTACAAATTTCAACAGCTTGTCATTTATGATCAATCATATATTGTCTTTTCTGTGCTTGGACAGAATTTCTTTACTTGGAGTCCTTCAGTTTTCCAACCTTGCGACTAGCAAGTCAATACAGTATGTGTCAACAGATTGTCAGTTACTATCAAGCATATCTGGCACAAATAGGCTTTTTCTTAGAGGACAGCTTTCAAATTTGTGACTAGCAAGTCAACGCAGTATAAATCTCATAAAATTATCATACCATCCAGCATGTACATGTACCACCCTTTTCCTTTTTTTTAAATCCTAAACTGCTGTATGATGTTGTGCCATTGGCACATACAGTATATGATGGATATGCTGTCACCACCTCCCTCCACTATGCAAAAATGAAGCTAAAATACTGTATCTTGAATACGGGGACTGCCATCTTATGTTTTTGCAATCAGATTCTGTGCAGTAGTGACTAGAAGTGGAGTAATAGCATCAGACTGCCAATCAAAATGGTGAAACCAATGAAAATACACTTTTTAATGTCAGAAATAACATATTAAAAACAAACTTACCAGAAAAATGACAAAAATTGCACACACATCAGCATGATAATATCTAGAAAAAAAACCCAACAACACAGAAATCATATCTGGTAACATTTGAACTAATTTATAGGTATTTTTATTGACTCATAAAGTTTACAGCTTGCAGATACAAGGTTTTCAGAGAGAACAATGAAAATGTATCTACTTTAAATGGTTAACAATATGTAGGCTATAATAGTACAACTTTGCATGTGGTAATTCCAATGCATAATGTGTACATTTGGTGCTTTAAGTTCAGGTTGTATTTTAATTTTAGTTGAATGTAGTTTTACTGTAGCCTACTTGTACACTAGTCAAGTATTTTACACTGTTGTATTTTACACTGCTGGATACTTCTCCCACCACTGGTTATATAAACCTACAAGCAATATACATCAAATCAATTTAAAATTAACTTTATTATTTACATATTATGTTAAAAAGGTGTGTAATATGGTCCAGTTGTGTAAGAGTGATGCTGTACTGTAAAACCATCAGCCAAATCTCAAAGCAGACCTGAACTCCCCATCATCAATGCCAAGCACACAGGGGCAGTGAGCTGCAGATACAAACAAGAGTTCTCCTTACTCTTTTTCTAGTTTCACCACAGGCCAACCCCTTAAAACACTGTGGCCAACAAACATTAATGTGGAAGCCTGACAATCACTTTGATTTTTTTGTCCAATCAAGCAAGACAAGTCCACACATTACAAACATAAACAACCCTGTCATTTATGATCAATCATGTAGTATTTGCTTTTCTCAATGCTGTGTTGAAACAGAAAGATTTCTTTAGTCTTCCAACTTTCCAACCTTGTAACTAGCAAGTCAGTACAGTAAGTGTCAACAAATTGTCAGTTACTGTCAACTTTGACACTTTATGAACTGACAAGGTGCTGCTACAAATGTAAACCACATATCTCAAAATGCTGTGAACTAGAATTTTTCAGAGAAACATGATTTTTTCTTTATGTGGCTGAGAAAAGACTTTCAATATCTTAACAATTGTAAGCCACTTTAGATTATTTGAAATCCTTAAATAAATTAAATCATACTTAATTGACTTTGAAAAGTTTGTTTTGGTAACAAGTTTAAAATTAATTATGCTAATCTGTTTTAATGTTTAAGAGTATGGCTGTGATAATATAACATCATGTGTACTTTTGATAGGCTACTTTAATAAGTTCAGTTTGCATTTTACTGTACCCTATTTGTAATTCAGTATTTTTACATTGTTCTATTGCTACTGAACACTTCTCCCAACACTGGTTATCAAAATGTAAACTGCAGATAGTATGCTATAAGGAAATTACAGGAAATAGACATTGCTTTAATGTTGATCATTTGTCCAGTATTTTAGTGAGATAAACTCTAAGTTAGTTGGTCCTACCCGTGGATTTATTTAGGAGCGCATAATGCATCGACGATAATACCTTTAGCATATTAAAACCATAAACAGCTAATGACAATTTGTAGATATCGTCCATAGTTGTTTGGTCGCGCGAGACAAAATGGCATTAAACCTAGTCATGTGATGATCACGTGACCCAATGCGGAAAAGGCGACAGGACAACTGAGTTAGGGGTAAACGTTAAATTGGTGATACGATCATATTTGTCTTTATCTCGACTCCCAGCTGTCCAGCAATGGACGGATCTGTCAGAGCATCTTCAGACGCCTCAGCAGGACCGCCGCCTTATCTTAGAGGGTGAGAAAACAATTACATTAAATGAACAGCTAGCTAACTTCTTTGTAGCTCATTCTTTCTGTAGTGACGACTGACCTCAAAACCCCGTCCCCCAGTGCTGCTTGATTTATTTAATGTGACGTAATCTCGGAACACAACATTAAACATTGCCAAGAGACATCTCCGTTGCTCTTTGATAGTAACGCCGCTGTTTTGTGTTATGTCGACTTACTCACGATCTTGTGCTCCTCTGCAGAAATGACAACTCCTTGGTTTCAGCCCTCAAGACGCTGCTGTTCTTCACCATCATGATGGTCACGCTGCCCATTGGACTGTACTTCGCATCAAAAGCGTACATCTTTGAGGGTAACCAGAGTCGATATTGTAGAATTACAAAGTCCAGTTATGACTGCAGCTAAACTTCATTTTCATTATCAATTAATCTGCAGACCTTTTTTCCCTGATTAATGGTTTGCGGTGTTATTCCTGTCATTTGTTGATGCATATATCAGCATCTTCAGAAGACCAAGCAATAAAGACATATGGGCTTTTAATAATAACCTTTTCCCCCTAATGATGACATAATTATTTAAGTGATGGTTGATGATGTAATATATCATCTGTTGTGGTATGTTGTTTTCATATTGATATACATAATGATAGGGCCAGTTTTCTTGATAATCAGTTGAGAAGCCATGTACAGATAAACTTGCCAGACAGAATGTGGTCTGTTTGTGGTCATAAACATGTTTGAATCCATATGTGCAAATCTGGTAAGTCTGACATTTAAGCAGTCCTGCTTTTTAATCACAGTGACCTCAAACAATCAGAGGTATTAAGAGGGTAGGTAGCACAGTGTATGTGGTGTAATAAGCACTGTGATGGTAAACAGTTTTAATCACCTCACAACAATCATATTGTCCACCCCTCTTGTTTGAATGCCCATTAGACAAACAAGTTTTAAACTTAAGCCAATAAAAGTTGTAGGCATCCTGATAAAAACTGATCTTGACAGCCTCCTGCCATCATTATTAATTGTTTACTCCTTTTCCCAGGTTCCATGCAGATGTCCAGCTCTGACAGCTACTTCTATGCCGCCATTGTTGCAGTGCTTGCTGTGCATGTGGTGTTGGCTCTGTTTGTTTATGTGGCCTGGAATGAAGGTATGCCTAAAGGAAAGGGCAAAGAAGATTAAGGCATGTCCTTCTCAGCTCATAAGACCTGAGGAGATGGACAGACACAGGCATGGGTCCACAGCCACCCTGCTATGGACTCTAGCACTAAACATGGCCCGATCTACCAAAAGTTAGTGGATGTGGTTTGAGCGAAGGCTTTGTATTTTCACTGGTATGGGAGGGTGGAATCTGTTGGTTATTTTTCACCAGCCTCAGCAAGCCTGTTATGTGACTATCTGTTGTGTGAAAATATTACTTTTGTTGACAGAGGACACGCCCTATTTTTGAAAGGCTTTCTTACGAGCTACCATTTGCTGAACCACTGTAAGTCCCTTCACAGTAAGACGCTTTAAATATAAGAAACATCTTGGCTTTGAACAGTGAATATGTGTGGACACACACTGTAGGTGCTTGTAATGTGTCTATGAAGGATTGATTCCAAAATGATCTACATCCATTCTTCAGTGTGTACTACTGAGCTGATTTTTCTGTCCTCAGTTGTAAGTTCTTACCTACATACATTTAAAGATGAGTCATAACTTCAATAGAAACTCATAATGTGCTTAACTTTGATTCTGTATTTTTGAACAAAATATTCAATGTCTTGTCCTTAATCAGATTCATCAGTTTGTCCTTGTAAAGTGTTTGTGTATTGTAGTAAAATAATTGCTCAAATAAACTTGTTAAATTGTTTCACATATTTTTTAAAGACTTTGTGAAATGTCTATTTTTGTTGTTTCATTAAAACGAATTTAAATTTCTCTTAAGATCTTAAAGCTGCATGGAAAATGCACATGTTGATATTCCCTAAAACAAACAAAGCATGATCCACTTCATACAGGTTTCCTGTGCATTCTTTTTTGATTAAAGCACTTTGTGCAAGGCAAAACTGTCATTGGCTTACATAGATTCAGTTTGCCACTGAGAGCTTAGGTTATTCAACCCCAATTCCAACTATTTATGGTAGGTTAACTAGCAACAGGTCATTATCATGAATTTAAAATCATTTTTGGAAATCATGGACATCATGTCCAAAGAGGAGAGGGACCACTGGGCTTGTTATCAGCGCACAGTTCAAAAGCCAGCATCCCTGATGACATGGGGGGTGCATTAGTGCACATAACGTGGGTAACCTACACATCTGTGAAGGCACCTTTAATGTTGAACAATAAAGTTTTGGGGCAACATATGCTGCTATCCATATGGTTCAGGGAAGACCTTGTTTATTTCAGCATGACAATGCCAAACCACATTCTGCACATATTCCAACAGCATGGCTCCATAATAAGAGTCGGAGTGCTAAACTGGCCTGCATGCAGCCCAGATCTGTCACTCACTGAAAACATTTGGTACATTATGAAGTGAGAAATACAACAAAGGAGGCCTCAAAGTGTTGAGCAGCTGAACTCCTATATCAAGCAGAAACAGGAAAACAGTTCACTTGCAAAACTAAAATGGTCTCCTTATGTCTCTAATGCTTGTGTTATTAAAAGAAGAGGTGATGTAACATAGTGCTACACTAAACATGCCTCTACCCCAGTTTTTTTTAAACATGTTGGCATCAAATTTAAAGTGAGCAGATATTTTTCCAAAAAGAAATGAAATTTCTGTTTCAACTTTTGATATGCTGTCTTTGAACTAATTTCAGTTAAATGTGGTTTTAAAAAGATTTCCACATCTTTTCCTTAAGTTTTCCCAACTTTTTTTGGAATTGGGTTTGCAACTCAAATTCAGTTTCCATTGAAAACAAACTACACTATGTCCATATAAGGAAAAAAAACCTGTGGCTTCCTTTGTTGTAGATAGACTTGTTGTTTGTCCCAGAAGCAAATTCAGCTGTCCCAGTATTAACAAGTTTAATCTGCACATGCATAATTGCACACTCACTGCTAAGTATTTACACTCCACGGCTCCCATGTAGCCTATATTCTCTCTCTTGTGTGTATTGTATTATTTGCTTCCTTCACTTGCTGCTTTAAGGTGCCTTAGATTTGTGATTTTACTGCCTATTTAGAATTGTTATTGCTCATCTACCTTATATTTCACTTGTATTATGTGGCATTCATGTGGACGGCAAAGTAAGAATTTCATTGTACAGGGAAACACTAACTAACTGTGCATATGACAACACTTTGACCTTGACCTATCATAATTGATTATCTTATTCATTCATTCTTTTCAAAACTGAATGCACATAAAGGCAATTTATTAATTTATATTGTTTGCCCAGAAAAAAAGAATCTTTCACTTTCTAACAGTGATTGCTGTTTTCCTCAGGAATAACAAAAATTATAGTGAAAATAGTCAACCAAGTCTGCTGAGACAACAGTCCATGACTTCTGCACAGTATCTCAGCTGTCACATGGTGGCAGCAGTCACTCTGGCCCCACAGTCAACAAAAGCCAAGGCTAGAACTGAGCGATGCCAAGCCATAATGATGTCTGCCTCAGAAACCACGTGAGCAGCTGATTTCTGTTTGTGTCCATCTATGCTTTGCTTTCACCAGCATTCTGTGGAGTTTGGCATCTGAGCTGTGGGGTCTGCATTGAGTTTAACATGGCTGGTGTTGGTGATGAGGTGACAGGCCTGCAAGCAATCAAACTCATTCTGTCAGCAAACATAAGAAGTGTCGTTTTCCTTTTGGAAATTCATAAGCTTACCCTCGTGACAAGACAAAGTTAGTGCAAGGGCAGACTTCGCTTCTGGCTCTTTGTCATTTATTGCACATTAGCAAGTTGGGTGTCGCTTCGCTGTGATGGAAAACAGGCCAGAGAGTGCTGAACACTTGGGATTAAATAAACACTGCAGCAACAAACCTTGATGATTTTCATCTGTGTGTCCTGCCTGTCCTAAAATACTGTGCACATCCTCCTATGTGAACAGATTGGACAGATACATACAGTGCAGCAGACACATATTTAAATATCTGTTCACTATATTATGCTTTTAACCAGCCAGACAAACATTTAAATAGAAATAGCATTACAAAATATTAGGTGTTATGTGGCTTCCTTTCCCCAGCAGATGGCGTGCCCAGCAGATACAGCCACATGACAGTGTTAAAGTGAAAGTAAAGGGAGAGGGCAGTAGAGTACTGTGCTACAGCTGGTGGAAAATAACATAAGGCATTACACCACAGGGAATGAACATAATAAAGTGATAGAATAACTCATCTGGACACATAAAATTATATCCACCATTAAACAAAACCAAGGCAGTCTTTATTGTGTTAGTCTGTGCTGTTATTTCCCATGATACTGTGCTCAGGTGTTTTTGAGAAGATAATTACAGAGTTGCTGAGATGTTAATTATTTATGCCAAGCCTGTTGAATATTTTTTATAGCTACAGTATATCAGGATATAAACCTAGAGCATTAATTTGCTTTAGAGGTGTTTAAGAAGACTTGTAGAAATGGTGGATGCCCTGCAAATAAATATATGTATTTATCTGTTGTTAACTAACTTGTGTTAAAAAGCCTAAAAAACGTATCTCATTTTATATACAGCTACATAGTTTCTGAATTATAAAAGTATTGCTGATGTTACCTTTCATGGGATTTGGTTTATGTTGTATCCAGCTGTGTACTGCTGTACACAAGGGAGTACTATAGGCCTACTACAGAGCATGTACTAGTTTGCTTAGAGCCCTTTCTTGGCTGTGCTGATTTTGGTGATTGCAGTCTGCTGAAAGTGGTAGTTTTCACGTTTGTCAGTAAACGGCTGAAACAGAGAACATTACTGAGTTTTATTTAAAGACATTAATTATTAGCCTGACAGATGCAGCACACACCTTTACTTTAGTTTGCATCTTAAGAGAAACCATTAAAGTAAAATGTGCCATGTGAAGTGACAGTGGCATGATTTGGCAAAAAATAATGGCTGGGATATTCTGTAATAATGATTTCTTGTTTTCCATGTTTTCTATAGCAGGGTTTTTCAACTAATTGTGACCCAGGAAAGTAAACAAAGGAGTGGTTTGGGGTGGCCACAACATTAAGATATAAATGAGGGAAAGTCCTTTTTGCACTTTTAGTATTAATGTTGAAATTAATTTTACCAAATCAATTGTTTTATAACACAATCTGTGCAATATTTGTGCAATGATTTAATTTGTAACAAGTAAATAATTTTGTGCAGTCCTTTAACTGAACAGCATTGAAACCATCATTTTGGTGATTGTGCTGCTGGTAATTTCACCTGCAGAACGACATGATACAAAAGCTATCAGTGAGCAAATTCATGGTAGTTTTATACAAAAAACTAACAATCCATCCATTATCTATAGCGCATATCCTGAAGAGGGCCACAGGAGTTATAAACTAGTGAATGTCATCTCATGTTAGCAAATCACAGACTTTTATTGTGTGGTTATTCAAACTAGAATGATTTAGGTTACATGGTATGCTAGTCTGATATTCATTCTTGTGTCAGTTTTGACTTTTGTAACTGCTAATTTATTGAAATATGTTCTATATCTTAAAAAAAAAGTACTATAGGCCTACTGTATGTCACCTGTAATGGCCCAACCCTTTGATTCAACCACATTTTCATTTCAAAGTGCTGGATATCCAGCTATACTCATAACTTACTATTTCTAGTCATCTGTAATAATTTCAAAAGCACTGATAATCCTTTTCTCAGAGATGATCACTTTATTGTTCATTTGTATAAGCAGATATGACATTTATTAAGGATTAGAGACAATTTGGGTTCACTTACTGATTTATGGAGATGTATTTACATACAGTATAATGCTCCTGGCTGTTTTGTCAGATTGTGCTATTTGTTTTCTCAGTTGACATACTGAAAATTTGAAATGTATTGTTTTTGACACTACAACACAAGTAAAACACAGTACACTCAGACTACATAGTCATATCTCAATACACCAAGAAATGACAGGTGAAAGAAATGGAACATTCAAGTAGAAAAAAAGATGTTTTGTTTGCTCTTCCCTTGACACACCAGACACTGACAGGAAATTAAGAACACGCCAAGCCAAAGGTATGAGACAGCATCTTTGTCATCAACATGTTATGCCATTAATTTGGAGGGTTTCATACCAGGGGTTCCTTTGTGTACTTTCCTGGCACAGAAGAATATGAGATGTGCATGAGTGTGATTTGCAGACAGCAAAGACATCACACACGACATGTTAGTTCTAGCTCAGGCATGCCAATTCTTAACAGGTTGAGATGTTTGTGTGTATATACTAATAACTATGTTGGAGCTACTGTGTATGGATAATACTATACATATACTATCAATTCTACTTCTGTGGTGATCTTGATTTATTTGTTTCAGGAATATAAAATAACATTTGCAACATGTGTTTCTGTGAAGTGGTTCCCTGTTTTCCTGATAAAGACCGCACTATTAACCTCACAAATGTAAGACAGGCTTATTTCAAGCAATTTTAAAAATATGGTTGTCATCAAGTGCTTTACAGAAAACAAATGGCACAAACATAAACAAGGAAAAACAAAACAGCATGCTAATAATTATGTAGTTACTGGCTTTTGCAAAAACAAAACAAAATAAAAAAAATATAGGCAGTACCAATATGGGAATTCCTGAGACCAGTGCAGTGTCTTTTGAGTCGCATCCAGGAACCAGTTGCAGTGACTCCAGTGTCCAACGTGTTGTCAGGAATTGCACAACTTTACACTTGATGTTTAAGCAAGTGAACTATGGTGGATGGTGACCGGAAAACTGTTAATAAAGGAAGTTAAATTTAAGTATTCGCCCTATCTGATTTTGTCAAATGAGGTCACGTCAGCACTGAACAATTTTCTGCCATGGATGCTGCAACTTTATACACAGAGTAACTTTGTGTGTGTGTATGTGGTTGATTCACATTCATTACACACTGACAAAACAAACTCAATGTCAAACCTGAGCAGGACAGACACTATATACTGTACATACATATACCCTTTTTGTTTTTGCTGAATTATTTCTCAGTGATGGCCTAATAGTGAATAATGCAAACATCCATACCATACATATATCAATTAAATTCACTGAACACCGGTAGTAGTCAACTGAAAATGTTCTTGCAATAAAGTGTGCCTTAACCCATTTATGCTAGAGTCAAATGTGAAATCCTGTTAAGTTTTTCCAAAGATAAACAAACCTACAGTAGTAAAGGATTGTTAGCACTATAGCAGCTTCTTCATGTGCCCTATACATCTCTACCCTCGAAGTTGGAATGAATCAAACCTGTGTGATCTTAAAGAAACTCGGCATGTATGAGTCTGTCCAAACAACTTACCCTCACAGCAATTTAAGACCCCTCAGAGAAATGTAAACCTCCTCATATCTTCAGATCGTCTATTCTAGTCTTGTTGGTGCTATGTTTGGCACTGCGGCCTGGCCTTCCCTGTGTAGGTGACCCAGCTGCTGATCCTGCTCCCTTCTTTCCTTTCAGGTCACATTCTTCTGGCTTGCTGCTGTTCCTTTCCACCGCCAAGTTGTCCTTATTCTGTTTATAAGCTGCCTTGCTGTGGTAGGGATGGAAGGATGAGTCTGTGCCCTCAGACAGAGGGGAGAGGCTGTAACTGGGTACAGGTGGGTAGGTAGGCTGGACCTGCTGGTGCTCGTTGAAATAGTCGTCGTAACTGGGCACAAATGGCACAGCAACCTTGCTAGGCTCCTTAGAGATGTTCTCAGCAGCCTGATCACCTCTCCTGAAGGTGATGCCCTGCTGACACTTGGTGAAACCCAGGTGGTAGATCTCTATGAGGTTGAGCAACAGAGACACACTGGCCACTCCCAGCATGAAGAGGATGAAGATGGTTTTCTCTGTGGGGCGGGATATGTAGCAGTTAACAACATTGGGGCAGGGTGGTCTGTCACATGTGTACATAGGCTTGAGTTCAAAGCCATACAAGAGGTACTGAGCCACAATAAAGCCCACCTCAAAGAGGGTTTTAAAAATTATATTGAAGACATATGTCCGCAAGAGCTCCCCCTGTAGGCGCACTCTGCCCTTTTCATCCATGACCAGAGGCTTTTTCTGCTTAGCATCCACAGTGAGAGCATGCTTGTCTGAATGATGTGCATGTTCCTTCTCTTTCTGCTTCTCTTCCATGCGCACCAGATGGAGGATGTGTCCCAGGTAAATCAGTGTAGGCGTGGACACAAAGATGATCTGCAGCACCCAAAAGCGGACATGGGAGATGGGAAAAGTGATGTCATAGCACACGTTCTCACAACCGGGCTGCTTGGTGTCACAGGTGAAGCCCGACTGCTCATCGCCCCACACCTTCTCTGTCGCAGCACTCAGGACCAGGATGCGGAAAATGAATAGGACGGTGAGCCAGACCTTTCCCACCACCGTGGAGTGCTCCTGGGCTTTTTCTAGAAGCTTTCCCAGCAGGTTCCAGTCTCCCATGGCTGTGTGAGCTCAGACCTGGGACTACAGAAGCTTTGAAAAAGTTCAAAGATGAAAACAGTCACTTCATTTGATTTCTGACTTATAAACAGACGTATACAGTATATACATTCCATTACCAAAATAAAAGTGAGCTTCAGTGCAGCTATGCAGCTAACAGTGTTTTCTTCTAAAATGTTTTATCAAGTTCAGCAGAGCCCAGACAAAAGGATTCTCTAAAGACAGTCAAGCTGCTAGCCAAGTGTACATCTGGAGGACTGTGTTGCTGGGCCTTTTCAACATGGATGCAGAGAGGATTATATTTACTTTAGAAGGGTATATATTAGGCTAGTGTGGACAGAGGGGAAGGCAGGTTCCAGGTCCCTGGCCTTCATAATCTGAGCCACAGCAACATGACTCATATGAGCTGAAATCAAACTCTGTGTAGATGTGGTGGAAGCACGCATTAGGAACAGTTGAGCTGAGGTCCTGTCACCTCCTGTAACATGTGAACAAGCAATCTGATGTTTAGGGAGCCATCATTTGACTTTCTAGCTTTAACTGTAGTAGAGTTGCAATTTTAAACAATAGTCTCTTTTCAATATTAAACGCCTCACACTATGTAATCCCCCATGATAAAATATAATAATGTAATTAACCTCATTAGAAATAAAGAAGTGGTTTTCTCAAAAATTCAAAAACAAGAAACACCTAAAGTCATGTTCCCACATAAGACAGCCTGTAAACAAACTGCACAACATCTTAAGTTTACTTCTAACTTTGACACTTGATTAAACAAAGAATCACACAGGAAGTAGTAGATGCTGGATAAACCCACCTTGTCAGCTTTTACATCCCCTGTGGTAGAGGCCTACATGTCTCCAAGGGTCCATGAGGCCACCCTACTTCAGTGACAGGCCTCAGTGCAAAGCTGATCTTCGGGCCCCCAGAAATGCCCTTGAATGGACAAGAAAAGTGGACTTCTGCTAGCTACCAGCTAGCCACTCAGTCCTCTGTCTTCAAACACAGCTCAGGCAGGAATCTGGATCCAGGCCCCAGGGTCCTCCACTGACCACAACTCACACACAAGTAACCTGCTGGACACACTCTCAACCATGTCCAGCCTGCCCTGCCTCAAACCCCCTCCCTCCCCCCACGGTTAAATTTGGCACTGGGCACACACTCTAATGTAAACTTTTAAAGCCCCTCCGGTCACTTGTTGCAGTGAGTGACAGGGCAGCTGGCCAGTGGTGTTGTCTGCTAAGTTTGTCTGGCCACAAGTGCTCCTGGGGTCTAAATATAACATGAGGGTTTCTCCTATCATGGAAAGGAGGGGGGTCTGATTTGGGGATGAGTAGCCATTTGCATCCTGAAGTCACAAAACACAATGACAGAAAGAAGGTGAAAAAGCTCAGTTTTAACATATTGGTCACGAGACAAGCACTGGTCCTTGGTACTAAAATGAAAATCTTGGTTTCCATGTTTACTGAAAGCTGTCTTTTGACAGATTTCATTATTTCATCTATTCGGTACAAGTCATTTCAAATAAATCCACTGAAAGAAACCAAAGATTGTTAAATAACTTGTGCATTTGTCAAATGATCAAGTAGTTTATTTCTTAATATTGCTTAATGTACACACAGTTTCACCCCGCCGTATATTTCATCTGGACTGCTTCCCTGGATGTAAATTGATATATGTACATTTAGGCATATAAACATAAGGGTTTCTGTATGTATTACAGTGTATAAAAACATGTTAACTTTATAACATACCAGCATATGGGACATTAAATTTTCAGATACAGAATAATATACTCTGCGGGGTAATACCAAGGCAAGCAGGTGTAACTGTCAGACAGTGACGTGTCTCTGTTAAAAAGTAGGTCAGCCTCAAACATTTATAAGAGTCAGCTGGAAAATAACTCAAACCTGGAGCTGCAGAGAAGTAGACAGGTAGTATTTACAACTGGATATAAATATGCACAAGTCCAAAGACATGCAGTATGTACAGTACATTTGCAGTAACTGAGCAGACAAGTGAAGGTGAAATGACTGGACCAATTATGGCAATTTCGCCATTTCAGCAGAAAGTTTGCTAACGTAAAAGTGAGCGCTTCAAAATACTTTGGGACTTCAGATAATTCTGATACTAAGCTGGGAAAAAAGTCCTGGGTCTAATTGTTAAAATGTCAGATGAGACAGGTGATTTAGGGAAAACTGTATTTAAGATATACTGCAACTGACAATATAATAATCAGGGACAGTTGTCAATAACCAAACAATATTTTTGAACTTTCTTTGTTTTTCCGGTACCAACTGTTGCTATATTGCCAAGGCAGTATGATAAGCTACAGCTATCAATGACTGTAATAGTCCAATATAATCTAACCACACTACTGTTGCTGTAAAGCACCGGTCATGTTCCTACAAGTCATTTTAGTTTTTCTCTCCATTAGCTTTTGACTCAAACTGGACTAAATATGATACACTAGTATTATTTTTGATATAAATGAAAAAGTTGACTTTCTTTTCCAGCATTTCAACCTCTAAACTCATCGCTACCTCCTTAAAGACCAATGTTTTTGTACATTTATGGATCATTTACTAGAAATCACATATAGGCTACATTACTGCTAAGCACTTTCCAAAGCTGATGATATGCTTATTTTTCACTTTTTGGAGGTTTTGTGATTTTCAAACATCCACTGATTTCCATTTGGCGTGGTCTTCACAAAGATGCAACATGCTTTAAAAAAAAAAAAGGTCAATCATCATTTCTTTTTGCTGCCAAAGCTAAATTCTTGTAGAAGCAGCCATAACACATGGACAAATGTGAAAAATCAGTGGATGGTGCATTCTTGTGCTGAAGTCAACTCAATCTCCGAGCAGCAACCTTCCATGTTAAATGCTTCTCATCTACTGTACCATAAGTTTGATGTTTGTATTTTGGGTTGTATTTTCCCCATGTTAGCAGCAATTCTGGGCTTCTAACCAGTCGACAAACCTGCCACACTTGCAGGATTTCAAACAAATCCACACATCAAAGTGCAATGTCACGCAACAGTAATGCAACAAAAATAAATGGAAGCATGATGCTCAAATATGGTTTGTTTAGCACAAACAGCCATCCCACTTGGGCAACTCGCTGCTCATATGGTACTAAAATGAATGAAAGCTGCTTGGGGGGCTGAACAAACAGATGAACAAATGAAGGGAAGCTTTGGAAAAAAGATTAATGTCAATTATGTTTGATTTGTAATAAATTAGCTAAAATACGCAAAAACATAGATATTGTTCTCCAACCTTCTCTACTGGCTCCAAATAGTTTTGCCAAGTCACGACAGCAACTAATGCTTTGTCAGTAAAACTGAAAAGAAAAATAACAAGAGTCAATAAGAGATTGACTGAATGGCACATAAATAAATAAATGGTCTAAATGTATGTGCTAACTATGATCAAATATACAGTATATGGGACATTAATGCAGAGCTGTGGGTGATTTCTGCTGCGTAGTTTAAACAGAAAAGGAGAGGCAGAGCCTTAGAAAGCAGAACACCTGTCATTCTTCTCAGTTGGGCTCTTCTTGGTCACAGCGAACTTAGACTTGAGAGAATGGTCTGCTATCAGCTGATTGATTTCATTTTGCCTACAATCTTTGACTTATCCAAGCTGCTTTGGATTCTTCTTTAGAGCCTTGTAAGCACCGTTTGCAGGCCCTGCCTATGAGGTACGCCACCTCAGCCAGGTTGAGCAGCACACACACCCCAGACACTGCCAGCATGAACACAGTGAATATGGTCTTTTCTGTCGGTCTGGAAACAAAACAGTCCACCGTGTTGGGGCAAGGGTATGAGTCACATTTCACCAAACGAACCATTTTAAAGCCTGGATAGATTAAATAGAAGATGTAGAGAAAAGCCACCTCAAAGATGATTCTGAAGATGATACTGATCATATATGTCCACCACAGAGCACCGGTGATCTGAAATTTCTGATTCTTGATGAGTTCTACCTCCTTGGGGTTGCTGCGGCCGGTCCTCTTCAGGACCTTCTTGTCGATGTGGCGTCGGTGGGCCACATGCATGGCCACCAGCAGGGCAGGGGTGGAAACCAGGATGAGCTGGAGCGCCCAAAGGCGAATGTGTGAGACGGGGAAGAACTGATCGTAACAGACACTGTTGCAGCCAGGCTGCTGGGTGTTGCAGGTGAAGCCGGTCTTCTCATCTCCCCAAACACTCTCAGCAGCAACCACCAGGACTAGGATACGGAAGATAAAGATGACAGAGAGCCAAATGCGTCCGATGCCGGTAGAGTGCCTGTTTACGCCGCTGATCACGGCATAAAAGGTCCCCCAGTTCATTTTCGCCTCCAGGTCTGCAAAGGCATAAGGGATAAATATTTAGTTCAGGTTGGATGAGTGCAGGCAAATCATCTCTAAATCGAGGGCAACCCTTTCTTTATTAACATATTACAATATAAAATAGCAAATGGATAAAAAAAATAATCCTTGTAAAAATGTCAATCAAAAATATGTTTTAGTCATTCTTATTGGCATATAGTATTTTTGTAGAATTATGTTAAATAACTTCAGGGCTATGAATGTTGCTGTCATCCAAAACACACTCAGTAATTCAGTAACTGTTGTAACATTTTAGAAGTTTACCAGGCTCAGCCAGCAGTGCAAGCGCCGGGTCCAAAGATGACCATCTTGATGTGCGGCCTGAGCATCAAGCTGGATTTGGCAGAGTAAGGAGTGACAGACAAGAATTGCCAAGTAGCCCACTGTCCCTATAAAAGCAGGGGCGATGGCCTGCCACCATGCGGTGTCACAAGACGCAAGAGAACGAAGTCAACTGCCAAACATCCGCAGAGCCACGTGATGTGCTCACCCTGTATTGTTACTGTACTCCCAAACTGACCTACAGCCCAGTTGCAGACAGATTGGCAGACTGCAGGCAAATTTCTCCAAGGAACCAAAAAGACATCCATCTCATTATGAGAATTCTTAAGTCATGACAGAGCTCATTGTTTGTAAGAAAGGTTACAGATCTGACCAGACCTGCCTCACACAAACTTAAAATTATCACACTCTGTAAAAGATGATTCATTCAAATATTACTGCTATAAAAGATAACTGGAAAACACAACATGCTAAGGTGCTGGGGCATGTCAGCCATCACACATCAAATCTGACCTGACTGCACACTGGATGTTAGTAGAAAATAGAATTTAAAGGACAGAACATGTATTTTACCTTCAGCTGTGGTGGTACACAAAACTGTGTACAAAGCGGGAAGAAATGAATTGATATATTATTTTTAGCAAGCCAAAAGGCTGGATTGAGAACACCGTGCGTTTGGAAAATGCTAATCATTCCTCCGCCACTAGCCACTGCCCTGCACCGTAGCAGTCATATGCTCTTATATAAACTATTTACATACAATGGCAGCCTTTATTGGGCTGCAACAAGACTCTTTAGAATTCAGATCAAATGCCTCAATTTCCGCCTACCCCAGGCAAAAGGAGGAATCTGTGTGGACACAAAAGGCCTCAGCCTGCCACATTATTTATTGTGCTTGACAAGGCAGACAAGTGAAGGAAGCTTTTGGCCTGAGCTATTGTCATAAGCACAGTCACTTGCAGGTTTGCAGAGTCAGCCAGAAAATACATGAACTGTTCAACTATTTCAAAAACTAATGCAGTGAAAAATTATCACCAACCTTATGTTTTCACAAATTCAAATACTACAAACACTACAGTAAATTAACAGTATTTTCTTGAGCAACATGCCTTAAAAAAAAAAAAAAGTCAAATTTTTTCAACTAGGTACACAGAATAAATCACTGGTATACGACTGGGTGGTGATAGTGGTGCAGTGGGCAGAGCAGCTGTTTCCTAACCGGATGGTTGAAGGATCGAATCTCGCTGCCTGCAGTCTACATGTTCAAGTGTCCTTGGGCAAGATATTGAACCCCCCAAGTTGCCTGTGATGGCATGTGAACAATGATGGATGCAAACTCACTCCATGCCCTCAAACTAGGGGTGTAAAAGCACACATATTCATACCAAACCATTTCAGTAAAGGACTTAAAGTTAGGTGCAGATGTGTACAAAATGTAGTCTTTAATAGCAATTAACAGTTGGCTTGTTTCACATGATAAACATTTTCCAAATCCATGTTCCATCACAAACATCTAGTGGCAGGCCAGAGTGCAGCATCCTTAGCTTAGCCAAGACTCTGGCTAGCGAAGATCATGGACAATACAAACAACAACAACAAAAAAAACAACCCAGAGTTGAAGGCCCTGCCTTATCATTAAGGACTTCTGTTAGGGAAGATGCCCTGTGCAATACAACAGTCCGGTGAGCCACTCAGTAGGTTGGTTCAGTGGTGACTGGGTATGTTTTTGACAACATGTCAACATGAGTATCACTGCTGCAAGGAAAAAAATAACCTTAATAGTTTGTAGTAGTATTAAGCTTTTATTTTTTTTTAAATTATATTCTTATATATTTAAAGAAATTATACTGTTTCCATATGTTCATGACAAGCAATTTTCCCTCTTACTGTACCAAAAGTGAACAAGGTTACACCCCTACCTCAGACCCATATCAACAAATAATCTGAATTGAAATCACAATTCTTTCTTCATTTCAGTTTGTTCTAGTGAAACTCCTCCCAACAATAGTAGAAGGGATAATTTACACTAACTGAGTACAAGTGGAAACACAATGTAGTCTTTTGTCACGCACTATCAGATGACCTATAGCAGTTCACTGTGCCATGAGCTTTTTTGCGTCACTTGCGACACACATAGTGGGAGGATTTGGGTGGCCTGGTAATTCTCTGAATGAACTAAACCTCATTCTCTCTACACTACAATAAAGGGAGACATAGAGCATAAAATTGTAGGTGACATCTTTATTAGAAAAGCAGAGATGTACAAAATAACAGATTGTCAATTATACAAAAATTTAACATTACATAAAGGCTCCAATTATGATCACTATTAAAGAAAAGGGATAAATAATGGCTGGAATAATCAGGACCTAAAACACACTTCTCTGCTTTCAAACACTAGTCAAAATAAAACAGCATCTAGCATTGTTTAGTATTCCTTTGCTTACAGATTAATATAAAGTCACAATGTGCTAAAAACAGTAATTTATAAACCCAAAAGACCAAAACAGAAATGACGTTTACACTCACACCCACTAGATAGTTTTATAGATATTACTGTGCAAATTAATTAAATATCCTTGAATTTCCTTGTACTGAAAAGTGCCAAACATAACAGTCTGTTAAAGTGTAGCCTTTACTAAAAGCCTATTACTGGGTCATAGATGGTCAATAAAAGTCTGATAAATTTCAAGCTCTCACTTAAGAATAATTATGTCTCATTGTTTAATGCTGCTGTTCTGCCAGGGCTCCCTTGCAAAAGATGTAAACCTCAGTAAGAGTTACTTCTTTCTTTGAGTATAGCAGGAGATAAGGTATTTCCTCCAGTCAGATTCCTGTTGTCTTCTATCAACCGTGTCTAAAAAGCAAAGAAATTTTGAATGATCATTTTCAGAGAGTACAAATGCTGCTTGACTGGGCACCAAGGCCAACAGATAAATGACATGCTGTATCTATTTGGACACAGCACTATGCATACAGCCTGAGCAGTCGAAATACAGACTATGGTTTGGTGGAACTGTTCACAATACAAATACAACATACAGGTTAACTTAAAAGTGCATGTGCTTGTAGAGCACATATACAGATATATACATATACGGGACATATACAGAGATACAGTATTTCATGCCACTGCATTGGCAATACTAATATCTGTGCACCTTCATTATAGTACAAATAGTAAAATATAAGACATCTCAGAGAAAACACACACACACACACACACACACACACACACACATACATATATATATA